GATCATTCATATTGACATGGAAGCATCCCCAGGTAGTGTAGATTTAAGTTTGTTCAAACCATGCCCCCTCCCCGGGGTAGGGTGGAAGACATCATTAAAATTCTGTTTTCAAGAACAGCAAAGCCATGATTAGTCATACGAATATGGAAGTATCTTCAGATAGTGTAGATTCAATTTCGTTCAAAACATGACCCCTTTGGGTAGGGTGTGGCTAGAACTGGTGATCAAAGCCTGTGTTCTATAGATTTTAGCTAAAAACTCTTTAGTATAAGTGTTATAAAGCTAACAATCTTAAGAAATGCACGTCATCCATGAGAGTACAAACCGGAAAGAGGGGAGGGTCATGCCCTCACCCCCAATACTTTGCCCCGTTCAGTGAGCTCAGGTGGTAGTTTTACAGGCGCGGATCCAGGATTTTTTTTTTCTTTTTTGCAGGGGGAGTCTACCCCAGTCGAAAAAAATTTCCAACCCAGAAATTTCTTGACAAGCCAAAAACAAAACAAACAAAACAAAACAAAAAAACAAAAAAAAAAAAAAACTAAACTCCTTGGAATTCCATATAAGACAGCCAACTGCTTACTGCAAATTGCTCACTGCTTACTGCAAACTGCTCACTTCTTATTGCCAACTGCCACATAAATATTTTAATGAATTTTCATATTTATGGAGAAATTTATATGAATTTCCAAAGAAAATTACTTATTTGGGGAAACGAAGAGATATAAGTCTTTAATTTGGTAAAACTTATGTTTTACGATGGGGTGGGGGTTGTTGTTAAAGACTAAAAACAGGAAAATGGTCATTTTATTACCAATTTCGAATGAAAGGAGATAACAAATTAAAAATGTACTTTATCAATCTGATATGTTGAATTTTACATAAGTTAAACATACGGAGAGATTTAAGAGTCATTTATCCATTTCCATGAGTATCTGAAAATCCGCTAATGTTTTCGACCTGATTTCAACTGATAAATGTTTCTAACCCCTTATTGTAAATGAAAGGAGTTGTAAATAAGAGCAGTTAACTTTTAGACACTGGTTTTTAAAATTATCAATCCATTACTAATAAACTTTTCTTTGCATTCAAACAAGTTTTAATGGCCAAATTGCCAATTATATTGAATTAAATGGATGTAAAATGTAGGCGGAAATCGAGAGTTAGCGTGCGTAGTTCTTACAATAATTACAAAAAATTGGCGGATTTAGGAATTTTTAAACTGTAAAGGCGAGGAAGGAGTAAATCGGAAGAAGGAGTATTTCCTTTTAAAAACAAATCATTTAAGGAGGCTGGGGGGTCAACAAATTAACCACAAATTAACCACCAGATTTAACTAAATTTTTTAGATCTGATATCTTAAGCTGTCAACTATCATTTGGCAAAGAAAAATTTCAAAAATTTTAGTTTTAAAATTTGATCATTTTCTATATTTTCATATTGAGCTCTTCTTCTTAAGGAGATCAATATAGTCTAAAAATGGCCACAACCCCCCAGCCTCTTTAATTCCCACATTTCCTTGCAGGCAAATAATTCGATAGCTTTTTTGACGCGGGGGGGGGGGGTTAAGTGGGGGAGGGGGGTGTCACATACGACAAAAGAACAAACTTTTAGTAGCGTCTTGAGTAATATTTGTTGGTAATATATATTTATTCTAGAAATATAACTGAAAATCATGATAACATAACTTTTGCCCAGTGTAAAATATCTTGGAATATCTTTCAGTATTTCTTTTTACCCAATGAAAAGTACCTGTATTTGGGAATTTTTATATGTGCCTTATTTAAATCGTTTTAATGGCTAATATGTTAGATCTGTTTAAACATTCGTGGTGGTGAAGGTGGGGGGGGGGTCCCCACTAAATTTCCAATATGAACTATACAGTAGTGCTCCCTCAATAGGGACGCCTGTGACCTTTTTTTATTCCTTGTCAAAGGATTTATGTTGGGTTGTGCCCCCCCCCCCCCCCCCACGGCAATGAAATTGCTTCCTTGCCTAAGATCAACTGTTTTCACATGGAGTAAAATGCCTTGTATTATGATTTTTTTTATTGTATGGCAGAAAATTCAAAACAAGTGAGTTTACTGGTCTGTAGAGATGACTAGAAAGGGTTGGGAGGTGGATAAAATATACAGGTTGGTAATAGAATATGTCTAGAATTAGGGAATGAAAGGTAGTTAATTGACCATGTTGGAAAGTGGAGAAATACATCCTCAACCGTGCGTAGAAAATCATGCGCCGTAAATGCACCATATTTACATTACGGGATATGTACATGTACATAGCGTTATGGTCAAAAGAAAACCATAACGCTACAGTTCTGCTGCTAACATTTTATCAACTCGATTCTATTTATTTCCTTACTCAGAGACCAGATAAAAAGAATAAGATTTTAATGCTTTCAAAAAATTGGTTGGACAGTTGCTGAGAAAAAAATGAGATTTAAAATTTTAATTTTTCAATATATCTGGTCACCATTTTGAAGAAGGGACACTTGTAACAATGTGTCGCCTCCCCCTTCCCCCTCATAACATAAGTACAGCCATTGTATTCTATTGGGGGAAAATTGGCTCTGGGGGGGAAATCGCACTCTATAACTACTACAAAGAGTAGGATCCTCCCTCCTCCCTCTCCGGAAAATTGAATCTGGTGTGGGATTTCCGTAGGGGATCGAAATCCTACTCAAGAATCATTTTTCCGCGGGGGAAATCCTACTCCAGAGCTTATTTTAGGGGGGAAATTCTACTCTAGAGCCATTCTTCTGAGGGAAAGATTTTAGAGGTGAAAGCTTACTCTACAAACTCTTATTACATATATAATTCCATAGAAAAAAAAGAGAAGTCAAACAAACTACAGACAGTGCAACATGCAACCATGCAACATTAGTGTACCAGTGAACCAACATGCTAGATGCAACTTATTTATATTGACATGCCAGATAAGTATAGGATCTCCCATGATTTGTAGTTGGATATGATTTTTATCCAACTCGTTGTGTGTTTTTTATCCCCGAGCCTTGGCGAGGGGATAAAAACACACAACGAGTTGGATAAAATTCATATCCAACTACAAATCATGGGAGATTCTTTTTATCCCTTGTTTAATACTTCACAACCAATGTATATAGGACTCCACTTTATTTTACTTCATCACGCTAACGCAAAAACCATTGTGACGTCACAACTGCACTTAACTGTGGATTATGAAAAATTCATATCCACGGGATAAAGGGGTAAACATGGGATAAATATATTTAATGCTGACATGCGAGGTAAATATGTCAATATGCAACTTAGTTATGTCGACATGCATCATATTTATGTTGACACGCAATTTATTTATGTTAACATGCAACTTATTTACATTATGCACACGTAACTCTAGTACATACCGTTACAAAAATGTACTACATGCATATGTTTGCATTAAAGTTAATATAACAGCCGTCTTCAGATATAAAGTTTATGCCAGAACATCATCTTGCATGTTTGTCCAGGCACCAGATGTGTACCCGACAGTCCGGCCTTTAAGTTAAGAATTCAATCCTGGGAATCTTGCTGTTTTTTTTTTCTTAGATATATTTTTGGTTTATTCTTTATTGAAACGTTCGAGTTTTTCTTTAATTGTTACTCTTTCGCACTGATGATGATGCTGTAAGATATTTGATTTGGATATATGTTGTTGTTTGAGTATTTCCAACACACCTATGAAGTAATTTCCCGGGAAGAGCTCATTGCGACGGGTAAATTGCGGAACGTAGTGCTTAGAAACATTTCCACAAATATCGAAAAAATTCATTTTTTTTACTTTTCCGCAAAAATGTTTCTTACGTTTCTGCAATATAAAATATATCATATTGTATGTGATCACGCCAACATATTTATTTCGCATGCCAACAAAATAAGTTGCATGTCGACATAAATATGTTGTATGTTAATATATGTAATTCTCGCATTTCAACATAAATAAGTTAATTGCATGCTGATATAAATAAGTTGCATGCTGACATAAATACCGGTATGTTGCTTGTCAACGTATTTATCTGCATGTCAACATAAATAAGTTGCACGTGAAGATAAATAAGTTGCATCTAGCATGTTGGAAGTCACATAAGGTGATATCTGATACATGTAATTTTGGAAAGTTTTCTTAATTCATTACATTTTTTTTCTTGTTATGCTGCATGTTGAGATATTTGTACATTGCATGTTGACATAATTATCTTGCATGTCAACAAAGTCTTTAGAAAAATACAGTAATTAAGTTGCATTGCATACAGGGCCGGGCAAAAAGATGCCACCATGGTAGATCTAGCATTGGAATGTTATTTAAAGTGCATTTCCATATCACATTTTATTTATTCGTTCCTTTGTCCTATCCACGCGATTGTTGCGTTTCTGTTTCTGGAATCCATGTCCCCCACATACAAGCTGTTACATCACTGGCCTCATGGTGTTGAGAGTTTTATTTCCGCCAGCTGCTATTAAAAAAATAAAGGTTACATCAATCTAAATAATTTCAAAAAAATAATTTCATTTGTAAAATGACTACATATTGTAAAGCCTTACTTGTAAATTATTCTTGCCCGGAAAACTGAAATATTTATATAAGCCAGGCTTTTCATGGGCTTTTTGGATGCAGCCAGTATCCAGTGTTTGTTCGTCTTAAATGTGTAATTTTGTAGTTTACACTTTATCAATATAAATCATTATGTCTATTCTATTTGGTTATTATCAACCTTGAAAGATTTAAAAATTGTTGGATTAGATTGAAGATGATCTCGGAAACACCCCCGGCAATTTAGGGCCTATGAAGACATTTATTTCTTACCTTCTTCTAACCCCCCTCCCCCCCCCCCCCCGTTCCTACGACCAATGTTATATATGTATCTGATTATTTTTAACTGATCAGTAGATTAATATTATTCACGTTTTTATTAGACACAGTTTGTACTCGCAAAAGACATTTTATATTTAGCGCGAAAAACTTGATGGAAATTCGATCGAGAACGGGATGCAAAATATTGACAATTCCGATTTTTGTTTTGAGTGACATCATAATGACATGGCGCAGGAAGTCGAAACAGGTGAGTGTCGTATTTTTAATCAATTTGAGATAATTACTGCTTCGTTTGGTTTTTTAAGTAGCTGCAGAATGAAACACAATAATCGAAATATCTGCTTCAAACATTTAATATGGCGAGACAGCCTGCCTTTCAACACGGTGCCTTCCGGAAAGTTCATTTTGAAAGTGACCTCGCGACTTTTATTTATTTATAGAGCTTAGTTTTAAGGAAATTCAAGTAGATGATAGTGTATTTAAAGACAAGTATTGTTTATTTCTGTGTTTACTAGAGAGTGACAAAATCAATATTTTAGCTTTTCCTGGTACTTCTACTGTGTGCGTGCCCTTTCTCACAGCTGATAGGGGTCAATGGGAGCATATGAATGAATTACTGTGGAGATGATAATAAACAATGAACAGATACACCTCTTATACTGGAAACCTTTGAATTTAACAACATGACAGCAATAAACTATTATATGGCTATTTACAATTAGATATCAATATGTTACTTGAGCATGTTGAGTAACCTTACTAAATACTCGAGGATCCACTAAATCCAATATTGAGTCCTATACCAGTATACTTCTAATATACTGAGGGCTTTGTTAATTACACTTTTAATAAAAAGTCCTGGTACCTCTTTTATAAGTTATTGCTTTTTAAGTATTTTGATGTTGATTTATAATATTTATAATTATAGCCAGATGAAAATTTATTTTTTTTTTCTCAATGTAAATTTATTTCCCATTTGGGATATATCCCAAACAGGCTATTATATCCCATTTGGGTGATTTTTCCCAACCTTTTTCAAGCTTAGATCTGGCTCCTCAAACTGCATGATAATTTGGTAATTTGGAAGTTGAAGGTTACTCTGACAGTCTAGACTGGAAAGTCACATCATTTGAATGATAGTTGCATTTCCATATGCAAATTTTTAACAAAGAATGTTTAATCTACTAATCTATCTACAATATTTCCTTAACAAGGCAAGTTTTTTTTTTTTGATTTGTTAGCTTTTGTTTGCATGGCAGCAATATACAATTTAAAGAGGATTCTGGGTACTGAGTATACTGCAGAAAAAAATCAGTTGAATCAATGTTCAGACATTTTGAATTCCCCCCCCCCCCCCCCCCCCCCCCCCGGCATTGCAGTAAGAGCTCACAGTGTGAGCAGCACTTCTTGCTGCATTTGCTATTAAAACATGATGCAGATTACGTCATCTGAAGACTTGAGTTTTTCAGTCAAAATAATAGTGTTTGTGATACTATCTTGAATACAATTATTTGACCAGTGTATTTGAATAGCAAAGTATGGGGAGATAAACTGTGATCTACTCTGATTGGTAGGGACTGTCCCTGATGTTACAGTGCTTTTTTTGGGGGGATATACATGAAACTCAGGATTTACAATAGGATAAATGTAACATTCTTATTTCTTGATAAACATGAAATTTCCTACTCGACAAAGAACATAATAGACACATGAGAGACTTCACTGAAATCTTAATCTGTGATTTAGCTGAGTTAAACAAATTTTAAATACAGATTTCTAATTCCATGGACAATAGGTGACTGGAAATTATCATTCAGCCTATTAAAATTATTTATCAATGCTACTGATCATGCTAATGGCATTTTCATTAATGAAGTGGAAAATGGAGGTAATCTGTGAAGGCCATGTTGCAATTATATCTCTTTGTCAACATGGTTTACCTACACGTGAAGTTAGAAGATGATTATATCTAAGTCATTAGCCCATTATTTTGGAAAGAAATTGAACATGCAGACTACAAATATTATAAGAAATGTCATTGATTTGACATTCATATATCGTAAACTCAAGATACTGTTGAACTTAATTGTCTCAAACATGGATATTTCAAATACCATGGATATGTCCAAGTCATGTGAAAGTACTATACTCTTTCTTTAAGTATTTAACCTCATTATCTCTAATCCTCGGATATCTTGAAGCTTTTTCTCAGTTCCATGGAGTTCAGGATAATGAAGTTTGACTGTATGTCAATATGATCATATGTAAACGTTCTTGAGATTAATTTTTTTGAGATCTTTAATAAGGTGTACTTCTCAAGAATAGTGTCATTTTTGTGAGGGGAGTAAGTTACTGTATTAATTTTTTTTCTGACAGTGAGTGTTTATAGATAATTGTAACATTCAAACTTTCATGGAAAACTTACAAAACCAGTTCTTTAGCATCATAGTGTGCAACATGGTAACATTTTACTTGGGATTTACAATTCCATAATTCTTATTCACAATGGTCAAAATCTCTCTTAGTAATGTAATAATTCGATCTGTGATGTGCAATTCTTTAAGTCTATTCAATGTCTTCCAAACTGTATTGCTTGCATGGTATGCTTCAGTAAAAGCACCTAGGCCTCATTAGGGATGCGCAATTTTTTGGTATGTCGGTATATCGCGATTTTTCATTGCATGATACATATCGTGATACGGAGACTAAAATACCGGTATTTGATACATAACTATAAATTCCGGAAATTATTCATTTATTTTTTCAAACTATTGAATGACAATTATAGGAAGTGTAAAAAAGGTTGAAAACAGTTAAACAATGGCATCAAAATATGCTATATTATTAAATGAATGAAAATTTAAAAAGTAAAGTTATGTTTTTATAGCATATTTTTAAGAAATATGATGGAAATTCATTTGAAATTGTAGTAAAAATTGTGTGTAAAAATATCACGATTTATCGTGATATTTTTGGGAAAAAATCGTGATATATCACTATACGAAACTTTTGCCGATACCCATCCCTAGGCCTCATCATAGGTGAATCCTTTGTTGGTAGTAAAGGTGGACATTCAGAGGAATACTAATACTTACTTAATAAGAAAAAACAAGATCTTATGACACCTATGTCGTTCATTGGTAAAGGTCCCCATTCAAGGCTAAAGCATGTACATGCAAATAAAAAATAAGTGCAAAGATACATCTTACATTCTTAATACATAGTTTGAGGTAAATTTTATATGGAGGTCCTTAAACAAAGTTACAAGATTCCTGAAGTATTGAGTTTTTAAAAATCTATTATTGATTTTTAAGATTTTTCAAAATGTCCTTAAGTGATGTTACTTAAAAAAAAAAAAAAGAGAATAATTCTTGAAAAGTTTTAAAAAGTTGAGCATGTAAAGTATTATCAAATCATGGCATATGATATACATTGTAGTGATCTATTTATACAGTTTACTTGCTAGTATGCTGATTATATTTTTAATTGATATAAGCAATTACCAACTTTACTTAAACGCTCATTCTTATTTTTATCTCCAGGTCGACTGCATGTGAATGAAGATTTTTTTTTGGATAGTTTAACTTATCTATTAATACAATGTATGTAATATGCTTCTTCATGCTGACAGACTAATAAATCTGACCAGGAGAAAAAAATAGCAACTCCAATGGTACCTGTGTTCATTAAATGTCTTAGAGACAGAATTTATGGGACTTGTGCTTATTTAATCATGAAAAAAAAATGGAATAAGAAGACATTTGCATCCATTTCTGCCATCAAAATCCCACATTGTGCTGGGTTATAATACAAAAGATAGTTTTCTCATAAAATCTGCCGGAAGTTTAATTATGAGTAGGTGAAGTATTTGAGGCATATTTAGGATGTGGTATAACTCTCACACATACATTTTCATATCAAATTATATAACGTGACTTGCATGTACTTCCTAATAAGTGTGGAAGTTTTCTTTAACAAAGTCAGCTATGTTCTCACAAGAAAAAAGGAAATCTGTAAAAAAGTATGTATATACATATATATATATCAATATATATATCTTTAAGTTCGTCTTTGTTAATATTAAATATCAGGATAAATCATTTCCTATTGTAGGTGGGTGTTTATGGTTTAGAGTAATCTAATATTGGAAAGTTATTGTAAAATTTTTTACATTTGTGTGATAAGATCTTATATAGTTCTCGAATTACTGAGGAATTATTGCATCTTTTCCTTATCATTGTATTCTATGATGTCATTTATTGGAGGAGCTAGGTGACAGGATACTAGGATGAGAGAGGATTGTCAAATATCGTGACGGAGTTGACAAGCAATTGATATTTTCCGATTTCCATATTTTCATTTCTTTGTTCCTCTAGACACATTTAAAAAAAGTAAAAATGGTTATGGAAAATATTGATTTATTTCTTAAAATCCCGTACATACATTTAAAAACGAAAATTTTTGATATTTTTGTTAATTTAAAAATCTTTGAAGAAAAATTTATGTATATACTATCAGTGTGATTACTATAGCATTTCTTTTTTTTGTGAGTATATCTGTTAAATTTATCTGTTGTTTGACTTTCATATACTTCATGATCCATCAGTGTTCTGAGAATTGCATGTACTTATCATGCTTATTAATTCGTAATGGTAGTAGGCTATTAAATACATCTGTACATATCTTGATTTTGACGTAAAGAACAACATTTTATTCTAAGTCATATATGAAAAATGATAAAGTTATTTGTGTATTAATTCTTGGAATCAGGATTTCTGCTAATAGGTATATTGACTAAAATGTCTTTACATGTGTTAATTTTTAATATAATACCTTTTTTATTATCCTCTTGAAGTTAAATATGATGTCAAAATTGAACAAAAGGTATTCCTGGTGGAGAATTGGATTTTGATTGTAAATTTTTTTAGGTCACAATTATACCATCGTTACTGCTTGGTAACTGAATGGCTAGCTTTCTAGCTTAACTTCACTGAAAATGATCTCTAGGATTCTGTCATGTATAAACAAATTGATTGAAATAATCTTGACAATGTGTATTATTTGTCAACTGCATCTGGTTTAGAGGTTTTACAATCTAATTAAAATTAGATGTTCCGAATCCGCTACCGCTTCTCAAACTGATTAAAATAGATGTTCCGAATTCGCTACCGCTTCTCAACATTTGAGAAGTGGTAGCAGATTGGGAACCTCTGATTTTAATTAGATTGGAGGTTTTAAAACCTCTTTATTAAAAACAACGTCATTTCTTTTAAATTACTACATGTGGTAATAAAAACTTTTATAAAATACAAATATAGCCAAACACAGTATTTCTGTGTGATGCAACTGGTTCTGGACAACTTACTCGCCCACAGTAAATTTTACTTAGTGTTATCATGGTTATGTTGATCTCAAATGTGGGGGAGGCATATATTGCTCTCCAAGACTACCGACTGCAGAAATCAAAGTTAAAGCAATTCAGGTTTGAAATTTTTTTGCAAATGAGATAAAGTGATTTAGTAGCCTTTCTTCTGTTCTCTCTGCCAGAAAGGAATATCCCCAGTAAAATACACATATAGTAATTTTGACAGTGAGCCTCAATCAGTATTAGGAATGATTCATAAACTGAAATTATGATTTTATTAAATTTGAAATGTATGGATGTATGGATTTGATGTTAGTAATTGTAAAAACCCAGAAATCAGTGTATTAACCAAGTTTCTGCATAAATAAGCTTGATTGTACATTGTCTCTGTGTTTCAGTGTCCCTAATTGGATTCCCGATGATATTACAAGTGATGGAGGATGGATAAAGATATACCATCAGACAAACAAAGGCATGACCAGCCACCGAGTATAGACCACGTACTGACGCTCATAAACAGTTTAGTCAAAGAGGTAATTAGTATATATATGTTTATAGTTGATTGTTTCTGTTGATAAATGTCTTGTTTAGGTTTATATGTTGAAATGTTAAAATATAATTTGATAATTTGACTTTACTTTTACTAGATATTTTATTAGTGTACATACAATGAAAATGTAATTTGCCAGTAAGTTGGATAAATTTAGTCAAAATTTATAGTACATTTCATCTGTGGAATACAGATAAAGTGATACTGCCTCAGCCAAGGTGATTGAGTTAATGTTTAGTTTTTTAGCTCACCTGAGCCATAGATGCAAGTGAGCTATACTTCTCAAAAAGTGTCTTGTATCTGTTGTGTGTTTTGTTTTCTGTGAATAATCTGTAAACTTTTCACATTTTTTCCTTCATCTCTGGAAACACCCAAAAATTACCCATGGGTAAATGGAAGCCCCATTTCAATCAGCAAATTGTGAACCACTTAGCTAGTAAAGACAAAACTGTCGTAGATGCTTTCTAAAGTACAAATGTATATTTGAGGAAATTCAATTCATTTTTAAAGGGTGCTCAATGTTGTCACTAGGTATAAAAAGCTCCTACTTATTTCGTCTGATTTTGAATGAAATCTTAAATCTATTGATTTCACTTGCAGGCCAGTAGTATTTGGGGGGGGGGGGGGGGGGGGGGGGGTTAGGGAGGCCTTCTCCCCACTTTTACAGGGCAACATTTGTCTCTGGAAGACTTCAAATATCCATGTGTGACACAGTTTTTTTAAAAAAAAAAAAAAAAAAAAAAAGAATGTGCTTTATATAGGAATGTATAGCAAAAATTTTAAAATCTTCTCAAGAAAAAGACCACAATGATTTTAATTATCATGCAAGTAGCCCCATGTTGTGTGGTAAAACTTGGTCTGAGGCTCTAAGGGTGCATGAGGTCACATATAGGATCAAAGTTTAAATAGGAACATATGGATGAAAATTTTAAATTTCATCTCAAGAACATCAAGCTCAAAATGAGTCAAAGTAGTATGTAGCTGCAGGTCTGTAGTTCACTAGTCTGAATTTAAAAAAAATGGGATGGACAGCCAAGGTTAGTAATATTTTGAAAACTTAAATATAAGGAAATATAAATTGAGAAACAGGCACTTTTTGTGTGCAGTAAATATACATGTACACTTTTTCCCCCACGGGCGGATCTGTAGCTCTCGGACTGTCCTTGCCAATTTTTTCAGACCAAGGAGCTACAGATCTGCAGCTTAGTTAATATGCAGGTATCCCCATCTAATTCAGATTTGTCCCCCCCAAGCCCAAGATGTGGCCAAAGTAAGAGTAGATACTACATAGGCTTACATAGGAATATGTACCGGCTTCATCTGTAGTTATGAAATTCTATTTCAAGATAGACTTTTGATATGTAACTGGTTACAAGCAAGTTATTTTAGGAGGTCTGAATTCAAGAAGTTAAAGAAATTTTCTAGGGTTAGGGTTTGAAGATCATAAGATGGACTGCTCAAAGAAGTTCCACATTTAAAAACCTGTGGCATTCGGAAGTAGTCTGTGTTAAATTAATATGGTATCTTCATAATTGTGAGATTTGTTTCTAAATGGCTTATATTTCAGTTTTCAGATTATTTAAAATAAAATACTTATTTGTAATTTCAGAAAAACTTTCAAGATGCTTTAGAACACACAAACACTGGTAAGTTATATGATCTATTTTTGTGTCATTGAATTTGTAGAATTTGTTGTGCTTGTCAACCAAGTACAGGTGTATAAAACTTATGTTTCATGATAAAACTGAGCTGAAAGATTTCATTGCTTAAGTGTGTATTTTGGGAAAATGCATAATTAAATTTTTCATGTGTGAAAAACATTCACACTTTTACAGTTGTAGTGCATGTATCTTAACTGGATCAGGTTATTTTCATGTGCATCAGCATATGTGAATGAATATCTTTTACCAAATATATATATACTAAATATTTAAGGAATAACTGTAAGATTTTTTGGATTCATGATGTGATCAATCGAGTGGCTTGTGTGATAATTTGCATAAACACCGAAGGCGTTTATGCATAAAATTATCATGCAAGCCAATCGATTGATCATCATCATGAATCCAAAAAATCTTACAGTTATTCCTTATATTTACATGCTTTTGATTCTGCAAATTCCCGTGCTAATAGCCCCGCTTCTGTCTCTATTTGTCCCGCCCCGCACATGATTTTTTTTAACTGCGCCTATCGATGAACCAGTAGATTTATGTAGAAATAAAGTATTTTTACAATTTGTAATTTTATCTCGGACAAAGACATTGGAAATTTAAATATAGAGATGTGAATGAGGAAAATCCACACATTGAACTATTATGTACCCTCTTCATGGCTTATTTATGAAATGCATTCAGCCCATTTGCTGATTTCAACCACAATCATAATGATTACCACGGGATGGGTGGTGTTGCGGGGGGAGGAGGTTGCAAACAGGTATTCAACCTCTTAGGATGCAGCCGGTGTTGATCTATGTGCATGATGTAGTCAGTTAATTTAGTTTTTTAGCTCACCTGAGCCGAAGGCTCAAGTGAGCTTTTCTGATCACATTTTGTCCGTCGTCCGTCCGTCCGTCTGTCCGTCTGTCTGTCCGTCCGTCTGTAAACTTTTCACATTTTTGACTTCTTCTCAAGAACCACTGGGCCAATTTTGACCAAACTTGGTACAAAGCATCCTTGGGTAAAGGGGAATTTAAATTGTTAAAATGAAGGGCCAAGTCCCCTCACAAGGGGAGATAATCAAGAGAAGACAAAAATAGGGTGGGGTCATTAAAAAATCTTCTTCTCAAGAACCACAGGGCCAGTAAAGCTGAAACTTATATGGAAGCATCCTGGGGTAATGTAGATTCTAAATTGTTCAAATCATGACCCCCGGGGGTAGGGCGGGGCCACAATGTGGAATCAATGTTTTACATAGAAATATATAGGAAAAATCTTTTAAAAACCTTCTTCTCAAGAACAACTGGGCCAGAAAAGCTGAAACTTATGTGGAAGCATCCTGGGATAGTGTAGATTCTAAGTTGTAAAAATCATGACCCCCGGGGGTAGGGCGGGGCCACAATAGGGAATCCAAGTTTTACATTGAAATATATAGGAAAAATCTTTAAAAATCTTCTTCTCAAGAACCACTGGGCCAGAAAAGCTGAAACTTATGTGGAAGCATCCTGGGGTAGTGTAGATTCTAAATTGTTCAAATCATGACCCCCAGGGGTAGGGCGGGGCCACAATAGGAAATACAAGTTTTACATTGAAATATATATAGGAAAAATCTTTAAAAATCTTCTTCTCAAGAACCACTGGGCCAGAAAAGCTGAAACTTATGTGGAAGCATCCTCAAGTAGTGTACACTCTAAATTGTTCAAATCATGACCCAGGGGATAGGGCGGGGCCACAATAGGGGGAATCCCAAGTTTTACATTGAAATATATAGGAAAAATCTTTAAAAATCTTCTCAAGAACCACTGGACCAGAAAAACTGAAACTTATGTGGAAGCATCCTGGGGTAGTGTAGATTCTAAATTGTTCAAATCATGGCCCCTGGGGGGAGGGTGGGGCCACAATAGGTATTACAAGGGGGGAGTCTGGTAATGAACAGCATGGCCAAAGTTACTCAGGTGAGCGATGTGGCCCATGGGCCTCTTGTTGTTTGTTTGTTTTTGGTTTTTTTTGGTGTGCATGTGTGTGTGCTTGTTAACAAAAATTTATAAATAGTATGAAGTTGCATGTTAAAATTTGACAAATATTTTTGAAGATTTTAAAAACATATAAAATAAATTGTTGGGGGGACTAAACTATATATGTAAGCTAGACTATGTGAAACAACAGTTTAATCAGTGTGGGAATCAGAGAACTTTAATTGTTTACAATCAGAGGTAAATAAAAGTTGAAGCAAGCACAGTTTTTAAGGTCTGTCTATTATCTCTTGCCTGGGAGTTGCTAAAACTAGCTTCTTTTACGTGCTCATCGTTGCATGTACCAATAGGAAAAACCAACAACTGGCGTGTCTTAACAAAGAGAAAGACAGGTGACAATTTGTTATGTCTCAGCTGGGAAATACTCTCATTATTTGTAACCTTGATTTTTTTTAATGATTGCTGGAAAAGAGGTGATAGATAATTTTATCCTTTTTATTTGCATTTGAAATGACACTGATATTCATATTTTTTCGTACTTTAATATTGGAAATCAATATTTGCCCATCATGTGTTTTTGTATTGTGATGTTCAGTCTTGATCTATCATAAACATTTAACATTGTTAAATAATTAAATTATCCCAAAGAAACAAATATTTAGATAACAAAAATATATGCTAGGAGCAAAGTAACAGGAACCCCCCCCCCCCCCCCCCCCCCCTGAAATTAGATGTCCATTATACCTTTGACACGTACGTCAGCTAGGCTATATATGCAAACTTGAATTGTGCAGATATCATAGCTTAAGTAAATTTTTTTTATTGAAGATGAGATATCATGCAATGAAGCATGGTGACATTGTGTATTTTCATAAAGCAGGAAGCTCCATTTTACGTGTACATAACACACTTCATTTAAGATTGTCCAGTATTGCTCAAAGAGGAAGGAAGCAGTACTTTATTGTGCATGTGTTCACAGAAATTTCAGTGATAGTCTCTTCGGAAAAAAGGGATTTTTAGGATGTTTTTTTTAATGCACTTTCCCAATTTGAAAGGAGTTTTTCATTTTTTGGAACTCCCTGCAATCTGAATGTTCTTTTAAATGGAAAATGATTTTGAAAATGACAGTAAGAATATTTTTGAAGTTTTTTTTTATTTAAATTATTTTGATACGACTTTGTTCAAAGATGGAGATGGAAGAGAAAAAAAACAACAACTATTATTTGATTTACATCAATGAAAGTTTTTCTTTCTTCTTTTTTTTTTCTTGAGTTGTTGTGAATTTGCCACTCAATTTACATGTTAATGTTTTTGTTCCATATTTGGTTATACTTCTTTTCTAAGGAAGTGTAATTCCTTTCTCAGAATCTTTCTTGTATGCTAGGAAGTATTCTGAATCAGTGGGTATATCTGATAATTTCAGGGACAGAATTTTTATGCTGGAGTTTGCAGATTTCAAACAGCTAGTGCACAAAGTACATAGTTAACTGCAGTTTAGCATTACCATTAAAATACTCCCAACAATAGCTTAATTGAAAAATCAATAAAATTCAGCCTGAAGCTGCAAAAATCAATGTATTATTTTGCCAATTTGATATTTTCATATGATTATTGAGAAGTTCTCGAAGAACGCGTTTCCTTTTTTATATAGGATGTTGCTTGTTTACAGAGAAGGCTCCTGTACAGAATATTTCAATGTATAATTGATCTATGTTCATAACCTTTAATAGTAATAATGGCTATAAGAGTATGACTGTTGTTAAGTCAAGTCAGTTACCTTTATGCTTCTTGACTTTACCATTTGTTCTAAAGGTTGAATGAACTTCATAATTAATATTGTCTCTATATATATACATGTAATTACATTGATTTAATAACTTGACAGCCTCTGAAGGCTTCCTTCTTTGCTTTTACCTGACGTTATAAGCCCAGGATAGATAAGTTAATTTTGGTCTAAGGACGTCATTCTTAAACAATTCTGTATTTGAAGCTAGATCATAATTTTTAACAATTGTTGTTATTTAAAAAAAGATCAATGCACCTTGATTTCTGAAATAAGACAATGACACATGTATATGAATCTTTTTTCATTCAGTTTTATTGATTTAATTTTATGCATTAATCGTAGTCACGATTATATTTAGAATCAGTAACTGATGCAGAATATAGACTCCTCACTTTGTTGCTAAGTGCAGTGTCTTTGCTAGTCTTCCCTCAAATGAATAATTGTGAAATCTTATCTGACTGAATACCTTAGAGGCACCAAGCCCAGAGTCGAGCTCCTTTTTTTTCATCAACCAAAGAAAAAAATATCTTGCAGAAGTACATGCATGCATGTCAAATTTAAAAGTTATTTTTAGATTTGCAGAGGTAAATGTCCTGTCTGCTATGTATATAATCTTGAAATTATGGGAATGTTTTTTTTATTCTTTTTTCAGCCTTAGCTAAATACAAAAACAATGAAAAATTACAAGAAAAGAAGATCAAAATCCTGTGTCATCAGGGAAAGTTTGAGGAGGCATTTGACTTGGCCAAGAACTGGAGAGAAGCCGAACCACAGGTTTGAAATTCAGTGATTGATTTTAATATGGGAGTTTATTTTGCACTTAAAAATTGTTTCTGTAATGGTAAGATGTAGAGCTACCGGGTACTTTGAGTTTATACATGACCATGGAATAATTGAATCTTAAAATAAAATCCCCTACTTTTTCCTATGTCAATGGTTTTACAGCCATTTTTTGTGTGAAAAATGTTACCCTTGGCACTGTAATTTTCTTTTGATACAGTCTTGTTGTTAATATATTTAAAATGGAGTGGAGTAAAACAAATAAAAGTAGTGCAATATTGTCAAATTTTGTAAATTAGATCTCATAAGGTCATTCTTCTTTAATGATGTGTCAAAAATATTTTTCAGAGTAAGAGAAGCCACCTTAATTATGATGAATTTGTTGACATTACAAATGATGTTTATGTTGCAAATGTTGTTTCAAATGTCAATGTTGTTTTATTGCAGAATGCTGTGGCCACTAAGGAATTTAAAAAATTGAAAAAGGTCATTCAAGTTTTACGAGATCAGGTAAGGAAGCAAAATGAGTGACACGGTATAGAATGCGTACAATTGAAATAACTCAGCAACTTTATTTTTAGAGTTTATTTTTTATGCCACCTAGTACTGAAAATGAATACTTGAAATGAAGTTTAATTGCTTTTATTTCTCTAAATGAATTTATCCATGTGAGCTAATACTGTTATTACGGTATATTGAAAAAAACTTCAGCAATTGGTATTTCATGTATGTTACACTAGTGCATTGACTAGCCAGAAAATTACGTCATTTTTGATAGATACACAGTCACTGATGATCTAAATGATAGTTAATGCATTGTCAAAACTAAGCAGTTTCACTTTTTCAGAAATTCACAGGGCCAAAAAAGGCTTAAGTGAACCTTGTTCTTTATTCTTTTATGTTATATTTTTGTCCTTTTTCTTGATAATTTGTAATTTTATGATGTCCTCTTATTTTTCCTCCCAGGATTCAGAAGAAGAAGAGGATGAGGAGGGAGAAGAAAGCACCCCTCCCCCTGTAACAACTCCACCCACAAACCCCACCCAGACAGAACCTACACCCACTTTACCTGCACCCCCAGCACCCACACAAAAGTTAGAGAACGAAGGAGCTTGTGCTCTGAATGATGAAAAGGGTAAAGAACAGACCTGAAAATTGTTATCAAACTCATATGAATGTAGAGATTGATACACGTAACTTAACATTCACTCATTCTTATAGTGATTTGTTGAAATACTAAAAATTCCACAGGTGACAATTATGATTACTCTCCAGAGTTAAATTTCTTTTACAAAGACAAAAAATTAAAAGAATGATGTTTCTTTCTAAATCCATCTCAGCTCACTAAGTTTTAGTCCATGGAGTTGTTTGCTTGAGGAAGGTGCTTGAAGAGAGACTTCATTAAAACATGTATATTTGTCACATATATATATATGACAATTCTTTCAGATGATGAAGATTTTAGCTGCACATTTTGTGACATCAAGTTCGTATCTGCCAGTGAACTGGAGACTCACTGTCGGAGTGACCTACACAAAAAACGAATCACCTCAGACGAAGATCAGAACTGGAAATATCGAGTTCCGCCCAGAAATTTGACCAGTGAAGAATTCACGATTTGTCGCAGGTAATGAGCAAAGTTTTAGAAATCTTAAATGCTTACCATCATAATATAAATTTACATTTATTTAACACATCAACATAACATTTTGATACATGAAAATATACTCTTTTTCTATCATTTAGATAATTCTTTAATTTGACATCATCTAGATCTGATTCTATCATTTGTTCTCATCCTGTTATTTTGTTTCGTTTAGGCATAGTTGGGAATATCTGATAAATTGTTAGTTATATTCATGAAAGTGACCAACATCTTACAAGGAATTCAACATGGCAATGATAGCCATGTTTACTTTGAGTAAAATTTTAAAAATCAGTATTTTGTAATTTAATCCAAACTACTGTGTAGTAACTATGATTGAAGAAAAGTTACGGGGCATTTAGAAATTGGAGCAATTTCATTGGAAAAGTTAAAATTTAAAAACTTTTTTAGGTTAAATAAAAGAGAGATGAAGGAAACGTAGTTTTTCGATAGTGAAATTAGTAATCCAATTTTTTTTAGACATTCAATATTAAATTAAGGTTACCCTGTTATTGTGTAACAGGAAAGTGTAGTTGTGTAGTGGTAGATGTTTGATTTTAGCTGGCTTATAGTGTTTTAGACGCTGACTCAAATCGGTGAGCTAAATATCCTATTATAAGTTCTACTAACAAAGAAACCAGTGTCACTATTTTTAAGCACGTTATTGCATGTTTTTAGCTGTTGTCAGACTCCGTTCTTAGGTGAGATGATTCATATTCATTTATTTTCATTTTCTTTAGTTTTTCTCAGTTTGATTTTTAATTTTTTTCATATAGAATGCAATTTATATCTAATTTGTTACAATTTACTGATTAGTTTTTGTTTAATTTTTTATGAGAGAGAGAGAGAGTTTAAGGACCACAAGTTTGTTTTTGTAAACACAATATTTCAAACTGGATTTTGAATCTTGAGTTAACTTGAGAAAGCTATAGCTACCTGGTTGTAAGGAATTTTGTTTAAGTTAATTTTTATGCCATTTTCCAATCTTAACTCATATTGTCATTCATATACACTTCAGTAATTGTGTAGAATGTATGAATCTTGTAAAACAAGTACACAAGTTGTAATTGTGATGGACTACTTTGCTGACAATAACATCAGTGTTTATATGAGTAACAGGAAATGGCAGTCCTGGGGAGAGATTGGTCATTTCTAATCCTCAGTAATTATCATTGTTCATTGGCTTAATCAGTAACTCAGTGTTATTGATGAATATATTTAATAGTTTTGACATGCCATAAAATTTTATTTTTCCAAATTATAAGAGATGGCTTAAATTTGTTTACAAATTAAACTGTTTTTGAATATTTGATTTAATGTTTTCAAGTAAGTTTCGTAGAGTTTTCAGTGTTTTATGCCACTTTTTCTAACTTCATATTTTGATAGGTTAAGATTGGTCAGTCTGTTTGCCTGTCTGCTTATTACACACTGTCTATAAATTTAAACTTTATTCAACAGATTTCAGTAATTGATCAACAGGTCAAGTCATGGTCAAAAAGAGGTTCAAGGTCATAGACAAATTTACCATTTTGAACTGGCAAACATTGTTCATTTATTGTTGTTTGTGCATTGCTTTTTAAAGACAAAATATTTCATATAATGGGTGAGTATAGGTACATCTAGAAAAACTGCAGTGTGTAAATGTCAGAAAACATGAGTTATGATATGTACAGTAGCATGATTGCCTATTTATAAATTTGATGACATATATAAATGATATGGAATGGACATGGAACTGTGGAATGCACTTAATCAATTGATAGATATTAATTATCATTGGTATGATTTTAGAAAATATCATTAATATTTTGCATTTATCAATTATTGAAGTCAACATCAGAACGTTGAAAATATAGTTAATTTTTTTTTACATTCTTTAGAATAATTAACATTTTACTTTTCTAGTTATGAAGAAACCAGAAAGTGCACATTTGGGGACAAATGTACTCAGGCACACTCTAAGGAAGAGCTTCAGGAATGGAAGGAACGCTTCAAGTTCCGGACACAGCAAATCAAGCGTGCCCGTGACAAACATCTCCATGGTAACACATATGCAGAACAGCTGATGGAAAAACTGGTCAATGCTGAAAATTCTAAGTCTGTGGTTAGTATAGTATGCAAACAAATTTTTTGAAAAACAAATCATGTATTCCTAAATAATTATCTGGGATGAACAAAAACTCTGGATTGCTTTAAACTAAAACTTACATGTCTGTATACTTATTAGCTTTTGGGATAGAGAAGTGGATTTAAAGAAAGCATTTCCAACAGAAAATTGTATATTCAGATTTAATGCAACTTTGTCATTGGATTTTTGTCAGTAATTTAATTATGGTTGTAAAGTGTCATTTGAATTAGTTTATATTGTATAACTGTGTTGCCTATATAACTAACATAAAAACATATCAGTTCACTTGATGTTATATGTAAAATTTGTACAATCTGAAAGCATTTTTGAAGCGAAATTGTCTTCATTTTTTTTTATACTTATTGATAGAAAATTTGATTATAAGGAATAATTCTAATAGCTACCCTAGTCATCATACTTATGTAACCTGGGTTGGAACAGTTTATAAAGCATACACTGCCCCAACCCAGGTTATACAGAATAATTTGGGTAGCTATTAGATTTATTCCTTTATTTACTCATTCAGATTATAAATCATTAAAATGTGTATTCTATTAGATTGTATTCTTTTTGACAGATGATACAAAATGTTGAATATGCTAAGGTCCATGTAAATTCAGAGTTGAAAGTAAATATGACCACAAAGAAATGCACAAATGCTTGGACATTCACGATCACCAGCAAGGTAAGCAAGAAGAAAGGTGAAATTCATCGAGTGCAGGTTTTATTTTTTTAAGAAGTATGATACCTGTACACAGCAGTGCTAAGTTAAATATTATAGTGGACAAGTACTGGATATTTATACATGTACATGCCTTATCATTGATATATAATACATAAAATGATTACATTTATAAATTAAAATTTATTTTAAGAGACCTGTTTGATTTATTGTTTATGAAATGATCATTTACATGTAGAATTATCTTATAAATAAAATTAAAGACCTAGCTAGTACTTCCTTGCTTCTAAGGAATCCTGGTCACAAGGAATTAAATAATTGTACCCCCAGATAGTCTGAAAAGCTTGTTTGATAATGTTCAGTGTGTTTTGATTTTCTGTCATTACAGAGAAGCCTGCACCGAGTAACCTTACTGGACGACACAAACCGCACATACTTCTACATAGCTAGTATATCCGTGGGACCAAAGAAGACCCAGAAATACCAGAACCTAGAGACCCACTGCCAGGAATGGGTCAACCCAGACTACACCACACGACACACCGGAGAATACGTCTACAGGGTCAAGGTCAGATTTAAATAAAACTTTTTTAAATTTCTCCAATTATCCAAAGGTTCTACAACATACAGTAAAACTTGTTTATAAGTACTAACAATGATATAGCGAATTTACAGAAACAGTGATGTTTTTTTAAATCCCTGGTGAAATTTTTAACAATGCCTTGTAAATTTTATGGAGAAAATGATCTTGGATGTAGTGAATTTATGGCTATAGCGAACTGATTTTGTGTTCCCTAGAAGTTAAAAATAATGAAATTTACATCTTTTATAGCAAATTTTCAAAGACCTAAATTTTTTAATTGAAAATGAACTGACATTAGTTTTATAAGTATTTATATTTGAAACTCAATTCATAAGAAAATTTTTGAATTCCAAGGTAAATTTTGTATTTTGTACTTTCCTATACATTTGATAGTCATACTTGAATGAAAAAAAATCTTTACTGGGAATTTGCTATGTTTAAATTAAGGAATTTGTTATACAGATATAACTTATAATGGATACAAGTATAGGGAAGTAAAATCACAGGTCCTCAGAACTTGCTTTAAGGTTCATAAATCCTCTGCTCACTCAAATAAAATGTTCCTTTAACTCATATGATTTTCCAAAAGAAATATATTTGTTAAGTAAAATACAAACAATTATAGCATAGCTTCAGGACAAAATTGGCCAAAATAGACATTTTGTTGACAAATTTATAAACTGAAGGAATAGTAGACATTCATGTTATTAAGAGTTATCTCTCTTATATCAGAGTATCGATGAACCTTAAATGAGTTATTGTGGCATTTGATACAATCCATGTATTCTTAAAAGTGTAATGCATTAATTTTTATTGGAAACAATTATTTTGAATCATCCATACAAGCAAACATTAAGGTCATTTATTTTATTGAACATGCACATTTATTATAAGCTCTAAATTTTAGACATAAAAACAGCACCCATACATGAACATTCTTATATACTGGTATTTTGAATATCATAAAAAGCCTTATAATTTAACATGACTTTCACTAGGAAATCCATCATCCTGTTTCATCATTGTTTCTTTCTTTATGGTCCAGGTTGTTTTCAAGACTGACATTTATGGGACTTTCCGACAAACCCTGGTTTATGATTTTGGGTTGGAGCCGGTTCTCAGCAGAGAGATGCAGATAGAATCAGCACCCATTACAGACATAGAAAAACTCAGCAAGGACCTGGTACTCAGTGAACAAGGGCGCTGGAAAGTGGAGAGTGTAGATCTTGTTCGTTTTGAAAATAAGTAAGTTCAGTCTTTAAATAAAGTTGTCATGTAGTTCATGTCATGTTGATATACATGTACATGTTTGTGTTATCTACTTGACAGACACAGAAGGTTTACTTTATCTTGTTTGCCTTGCTTTCTTGGAAAATTAATACATTTATACAAGTCAGCAGAACTCTCTTGTATGAAGTATTGAAGTGAGATGCAATGCTCTGTTCAAGGTCATATTAAAAGTCAAGGTCACACACAATATAATTTTTTTTTGAATTTTTCATACTGAATTTATGGTTTTATTTGTACATGTATATGTACATATATATATATATATATATATATATATATATATATATATATATATATATATATATATATATATATATATACCTGTATGAGAAATGTTTTAGTTAAATAAATGAGGAAGCCTAAACAAATTATGAATTAAAGTGTTATTAACGTTAAAAAAAATTTTATGTCAAAAAAACATAATCAGAGGAAAGTTACATGACCTTCAATGAAGTTACACTGTAGCTTTAAAATTTTATTTATTCTCTTCAAGGCCAGTACCTGAAACTGAGGAAGAAAAGCAACTTTTATCCAAGTACAGTTTGCCTGAGGCAGACAAGTTCCGTCTATCAGAGCATCTGATGCATCCACCCTCTAAGGAAACCTACAGGATTTGGATGCATGAGATGCTTTATATTGAGGAATGGGCCCAGATGGATCATATCTCTAGGTAGGAGTTCCAGGGCTTAACCCTTGCATCCAGGTCTAGTAAAAGGACCTATGAAGTATACATGTAGATAAATTTTCTTGTGAAAGATTGTTTTTGATGGAGAAAAAGCTCAATACCTTTCAGTATAAATTTATATCAAAGTACAAGTTGTGATGATTTGAATCAGGTCATATGTAAAGCATTCCTTTTTCAGATACAACATAAAGACTTCATTGCAGCTTGTGAACCGCTTTCTGCTTGTACCAGGGGCCCTGAGTGGGGCTAAGTATGCCCAAGGAGGGGAACTATTTGCTCGCATGAAACTAGATGATGAGTTGTCTGAGGACTCTGCTGGGGGTCGTCTGATTCTGATGAGTTCTAATGTAGCATGGCTGGCCCCCTACAACCCTGATGATAAGATGAACTCGAAGCAGAATAAAAAGGTAAAAACTTGAGGACAGGAAATCAGGACTTTGTATTTAGTTTTATATAAAATTAAGTTTATATTTGAATTCTCATGTAAATGTTCAAACTGTTTATAAATCTTTTTGGCATTTTGAATGTAATTTTGTTTAAGAAACTGTAATTTTAGCAATTAATTGATATTTAATGCTATCACTAACTCGTGATTTTAGGTTTATCAGGTGCTCCTAGAAGACAAGGGAAAGAACTTTATATTTTTACGGCTTCCAGAGAAGTGTGTTTCAGAGCTAAACTTAACCTGTGACCAGGAGTTCCATGCAGAGGTAAGTTATTGTTTTTGTTGTTTATATTCTGGAGACAGTTTCTGTATGAAAAGTGTGATACAATTTGTTTTTTGAAAATATTTACATTGAAATGAAGTATTCAACCATGTTTGTAAAATACTCTCAGAATTTTCTAATACTATACTTAAAATGTGTTCTTTGTTTCTGTGACATGATGGATTTTGAAGTTGTCTATTTTTTACGATTCTAGATACAGTTCCAGCTGAATAGAGTGCCCATGTGTGAGATGCACTCAGCCATTGATCAACTTCCTACATTAGATCTAGTATTTCCCCCTCTCCAGAGAATTCCCACTTCACCCTGGTACCCTGAAGAGTAAGTCATGTGTCTAAATGGAATTTCGCAACTTTTGAGGAATAACTTACATTGTATTTATATATAATTTAATTTTGTTTGTATTCTAGCCTCTGATTGGTTAATATCCAAAAAGGAACACAAATTATTTCTGTATAACCTGGTTTGGTATGGGGACATCCCCCCCCCACCCCCACCCCCCGACAACCAGCTGAATCATCTGTATCCAAACAATCCTCTCATTTCCAGTCCGCTTTGCAGATTATAAAGCGTAAACTGACCCAAACCAGGTTATACTCGAATAATTTGGCCAAGAATTAGAGTCATTCCTAAAATAATCATTAGAACTAGAAAAACTAAAACAAGCTTCCAGCATCAGCAATAGGAATTACTAGCCAAAAGAAATGTACCGTGAAACTTCATTATCTTAACTTGATGGGACTGTGGAAAAACTGAGATATCCAAGGATTTGAGATATTGAGAGTAAAATGCATAGAGAAAAAGTGGTTTGGACTTGATAATGTATCCTTAGTATTCGAGATATCGGTGTTCGAGATATCGAAGTTCAACTGTATATCTTGTAATTATTTTCTCAAGAAAAGGTGGTTTTAAAGGAAAAATACAATCATGCAAATATTTAAAACTTCTCCAGAGGTTCATTGCTGAGTTCATCATTAATGCAAATGCATCATTTTAGCATGGAGTTCAGTGAAACAGTGAGTGAAAGACTGAATGAGAAACAAAAGGCAGCCATTAGGGGCATTACTGCAGCAGGAGACAAATGTCTACCCCCGCTACTGCTGGTAGGACCCTGGGGGACAGGCAAGACATACACTCTAGCTCAGGCAGCAAAGCATGCATTGGAAGTGGAGGACAACAGGATTCTGATCTGTACTCACTCCAACAGGTACAGTACAAAAAGGTCACTAGTCAGGTGACATGGATGAAGGAAATATAACCAATTGTCATCTCTTGAATCTCAAACACTTTGTCTCTTGAATTCTCCATAAATTTTTGGAGGTTATTTTAGTGAATGGGTTCATTATTTTATGTGGTAATTTTTGCTTGCTGTAAGTTAATTTGTGGTCAGTCCTCTCCTGATATTTAACTTTGACAAAACAATTCCCTCTCATCTGAATTGTAGTGACCATGGGTTGCTCTGCAGACATACAATTCCTTTCAATAGAATTGTACTGTATTATATGCATGTACCTTTAAAATAATCTTTTATTTTTGACAGTGCTGCTGATTTATACATCAAAGATTTTATTCACCCCATTGTAAAAGAGGGCCACATGGATGCTGTGCCCCTACGTATTTACTACCGTCATCGATGGGTGCAGACTGTTCCTGATGTGGTGTTACAGTACTGCCTCCTAGAAATGTCTGCTTCCCAGGGTAACTTCAGGATGCCATCCAGAGAGGAGGTGGACAGACATCGCATCATCATCACCACACTAAAAACTGCCCGATATTTATGTGACCTTGACCTCCCTCAAGGTCAGTGGTCATTGCCACAGTATCTATAGTCTTTTTGAAATATTCTGTTCATTTTTAATTTTTTTTCACCTTTAAAGGGGAAACACTGAAGTTAAGAAAGTAATAGGGAATAGTTAATGAATTTGTTTTAAAATTGATATAATAGTTTTTGATAACTTGTAGATGTGAAAATTGTAGATTTTTAGGTGTTTTTTGCTTGTTTTAGGGTACTTTAGTCATATATTTGTGGATGAAGCAGCACAAGCACTGGAAAGTGAGACTCTGATTCCTCTATCTCTTGCTGGCAGGACCACTAAAATCATCCTGGCAGGGGACCATATGCAGGTATGTTATGACACTTTATTACTGGAGTCTATTAAGTATTGTTTCCAATATGCAAAAGTCAGCAATGCAATTTCTGAAGTAGAGTAACTTCCCTTCATTAGCACATTAAATGAAACAGATGCATTAAAACTTTATCGACTCTTAAAACAATTTATTATTAAGATTGAAGACAGATTATCATGCAGTCATGAGTCAAGTTCAACAATTAACTTCTCAAAAACAAATTCAATTTTGAAATCAGGTTTTCTCTTTGTTTTGTAGTTGAATCCAGAAGTGTACTCAGACTTTGCTAAGCAGCAAGGCTTCCAGAAGTCAATGCTTGACAGACTTTACGAACTCTACCCAGATGACTGCCCATGTAAGATCATGTTGTGCGAGAACTACCGATCACACGAGGCTATCATTGACTTTACCTCTGACCTGTTCTACGATGGTAAACTGATATCTAGTGGGAACCAGCCAGCACATCCTAACTACTACCCACTGACATTTTTCTCTACCCGCGGGGAAGACCTACAACATGAGAACTGTACAGGATTTTATAACATTGCTGAGGTAATTAAACCTCACTTAAAGGTCCTATAAATTATTTCTCTCTAATAAAAAAAATATTATTAGTTACTCTGACCGTCTGTTTGATGTAAATTTCTGACAGATAAAGTTCATGCATATATGGAATACAGGTAAATCATAATTTTCAAAAATTTCTTTGTAAGGTCCATGAAGTTGTGGACAGAGTGGATGATCTTCAGAAAAATTGGCCTCCAGAGTGGGGTGAGATTGAGGGCAACATTGGAGTAGTAGCGCCATATTCTGATCAGGTACATCCTAGGATAAATCATTTTAAATGAGGATGCAAGGGGTCAACAACATTTAGTGTTCAAAAGGGAAAAAAAATCAATTGAAATGTTTATTAGCAAGTTTTTCCAGGATCTTTTGTTTAAACATCAAAATTTCTCTAATTTGATTTGTTATTGACTTCTTTTTTCTAGGTGTTTCGAATTCGTTGTGAGCTGCGGAAAAGAAAAATGATGAATGTCAGTGTAGAAAGAGTGTTTAATGTACAAGGTAAGTGAAACTCATTGTGTCAGTATACATGTTTGTTTGTTTGTATGTTGTTTAACGGCCCTCTCGAGAATTTTTCACTCATATGGAGACGCCGTCAGTATACATGTAAAAGACTCTTAACACCATGTGACAAATAGGTATTTGAACTTCAGAAGTTGATTTTATTAGGGTGCTGAAATACTGTAATTACTTTTAATTTGTGTGAGAAATGTCCACAAATTTTACTACCTTTTTTACACACAATTTTTTCTTGCCACATACCATTTATTTATGTATATCTGAAGAATAATTCCTCAGTCACAAAAATTAATCAGTGAAGATATAGATTTCAAACTAAAAATTGTGAATAAAAGTTGTAGCAGATAATACATGTACATGTAGTTTGTTTACATTATAAAGCATCAACTGATTTTTTTTTTCTGTATAGTGCTTTATTCATGATAACACTTGAAACATTGAAAATATTTATAAATAGTTGAGTGAACCATTACTATCCTTCAGTGGTAAAGTTTTTACAATGTGTGCCATTGTATTCTCAGGGAAGCAGTTTCGAGCTATAATCTTGAGTACTGTTCGGACTCGACACACCTGTAGCTCTGACTCGTCTCAAGAGGACGTGTACGACTATGGCTTCCTGTCCAACGTTAAACTGCTAAACACAGCTCTGACCCGAGCCCAGTCTATTGTTGTTGTTGTAGGGGACCCTCTGTCTCTCTGTCTTGTAGGAAAATGCAGGTAACTTTGAATGTTTTTAATAATTATTTTGAATGTGAATTGGTTCCTTGATGATGAAAGGACTTGTATCAGAATTTCAAAACTGTGACATATGAACACTGGTGTACTTACGTTGATGTAAATAACCACGATTTGCCATAATTTATTGTTTATTGTTTTGGTCAACAGATTCTTGAGTAGTTAAGTAGTTAAAGGTTGTGGTATTTATAGATCGAATAAGTTTTGCAAGCATTTTCATTTTAATTATTAAGGTAATGCTCGTATCAATGTTCATGAGTATACATAAATGCCTTTTGCGTATTTTTAAAACTTATTCCATAGAAGTAAATTCATTTAGAATTTTCTAATTTTCTAATTGTGAAACCAAATTTATTTTTCAGAAAAGTGTGGGAGTACTTTTTAGAGACATGTAATGAACAGAAGAGCTTTTTTGGAATGAAGTTCAGTGTCCTGAAGGCTCAGTTAAACAGTGCAGAGCTGAGGAAAACATATGTCCTCAACCCACTAGCTCCTGAGTTTGTCCCCAATCGTTTGTACCATGTGACGAGTCAGAACCACATGACTACTGGAGGAGCAGGAGGACACAATCCAGCAAATCCCGGGTATTTTGTGGGTCAGAGAATGATGTACCCAGGAGCTCCATATCCCCAGCAGGTAGGGTATTGATGAATGACTCTGTCAGTATCTTGTTGCTAACACTTTTATCAAATTTTTGAAAGAGGATAAATGGGCAAAATTTTCATGGTGCCAATCTCTGACAGAGAATTTCAGAAATCACTGCTTTGTTTAAAGCTCACCTGAGCCAGAAGGTTAAGTGGGCTATTCAGATGGAAAGTCTTTTGTCTGTCTTTTATCATGCTTATGTGAATTATTGTAAGCGTTTTAGGCCTACATTTAAATCCTCTTCAGAATCAGTTGAAATTATAACAAAGCACTGTTGGGTATTGGGGAATTGTGTTCTTCGTATAAAGGAAGGTGAACCTGTTCAAGGGTAGATAATCAGGAAGTTGTATAGTCCTCTCAAGAACTACATGTACTTTGCTACAAAAGACAAAATTTATTCATGTTCTAGTATGCAAACATCCTCGTGAAGTGAAGATCTTCAAATCATGATCCCTGGCTAAGGAGGGTCAGAATAGGAGGAATTAGTTGCACATGAGAATATTCAAGAAAAATCTATCAAAATCTTCAACTCTTGAACACCAGGGCAACAGTTTTTAATATTTAAGTTATGATCCATGTGGCTAAGTTGTGGCAACAAAGAAGGGGATTAAAGAAAAAACATAGCCAAAAGTATTAAGTGCTGTCTTTAGAATTTTCTTCTGAAAAATAGTCCATTCATAATTAGTCAAATAAATATTCAAGGATATTTATGTGGCTTAGGATTAGATATATTCTATTAATGTCCCCCAGGTATTTGAAACAATACAGAGTTTTATATTAATTTATTTGGATCAGAACACCAAGACTTATACATTGTAAATTTTAAAGAGCTAAATCCACGAAGTGCCAAAATCGGCCCAGTCATCAAAATGAATGAAACTTTCAAACATAATACTCTAAGATTTGTATGTTGTAAAACAATTTATTTTTTAACAATATCTTTTCTGGTTTTCTTTTTAAAGACGTTTAAACTTAGTATTGTTTTTCTTATCAAAACTATCACATCATTACATTGACGTTACATATTTTAACGCTGTGACGTTGACATTTTTTATAACAAAGTAACACATGTACGTTAATGGAATAAAATTCACCAAAATATGATCTTTAAAATTTTAGGAAAATTTAATTATGAATTTTTCAAGAAGTTTTGAAAACTTTTGGGTTTATATTTAAATTGAAGCTGTTTGTATTTTAACGAAATATTTATTTACAACATTTGTCTCGTAAAATCGTGGTTATATGTAATACGATTTAAATGAAAACAGGGGACATATTAAGCTGAAAATTACAGCAAGTGTTAATCTATCATATTTAAGTTGAACTGGATTTTGTAGTAAAATATATACTTGTAGCCATGGATAAGGATTTTATCGTTCTTAAATGTGTTGTAGTATGGTCCTATGGCGTACAAACAAAAAAAGAGGTTTTATAAAAGAATGCACAAGACTTAGTGCTCTTTAATAACGAATACATAAAATTAAAAAAAAAGTTGCATTAAAAATGAATTATGTTTGAAGTGACCATCTATTATATTGTCATTCTGAAGATTTCGCTGCACTTTCGTAATTTAAAGCATTTCCCGGACATTTGAAATGAATTTGTATTAAAATACATGTACATGAAATACACGAAAAGTAATGACGTTTTAGGGCTTTCCACAAGGCAGTATGTTTAGGAAAGAAGCCACTACAGACTTTGAACAAGTTAAGATTGATGCAAAGCATCAAATCGGCAGCAAAAAAAATGCATTTTAATTTTTTTACAAGTAAGAGGCCAAAGAAAACACAAGATTTCTGAAGTATTTGAATTTCAAAACGGAACATGAAGTTAAAAAAAAAACGAAATGGCATGTATACCACTTTATTCAATTTAAATTACTTAATCAAAATAAAATTCACTAATTAATGATCAATATGTTATATCATCAAAGTGAAAAATTAATCTTATATACGAGATCTCCAAATGACAAAGAGGATAACCTTTCCATGTGATAATAACTTGGATCATGCCGATGATTTCTGCAGACTATGCTGCACATCGCGATAACAGACAAAACAGTAAATGTGAAGTGTAGAAAAAAAATATCTTAGCGTCAATTACAGCTACAGCATATATAAAACAATTTTTTTGAAAGGACTGATTTTTATTTATGAATTTTGGCACTGTAATTCACATCCACTGAAATGAAAATGATTCACTTTCATATCTCACACACTCCCCTATTGGGGAGTACCTATTGTAAACCCTTTTAATAAAATCATAAAGTAATGAATTGAAACATAATCTCAACAACTCAGACTTTTATATAGTTCAAAGCCAGTTTTAATTTACTCATAATTTTCATATATATTAAGAAATTATTCTGTCGAGCTGCTAATAACGTTTCGTGTCTCCATGTGCACTTTCTAACACAACCACAAATAGATAGGCAATAGTGAGTATAGAAGATGATGAAATAATCATAATATTGTATACATATGGCGTATGAGATTTTTAACTCGTACTTTTTCTGATCGGGACTTTTTTGTAAACAAAAAAAAAACAAAACAAAACAAAACCAAAAAAAAAACCAAACAAAAAAAAAAAAAAAAAAAAAAAAAAAAAACCACGGAAACAGCTACCGGCAGTAGTGAATGACTATCATTACAATCCGTAGATTACTTATTTAATTCAAAGGAAGTAAAACTACCGTCCAGAGCATTAATTGTCTATAATGAGTAGCACATTATTGCATTGTTCACAGGTATTTCGTATTGTCTGAAAATTGGAGAGAAAAAAAATTACAATAATACATTCGGGACATACATGTATACATTTTTATCATACAGATTGAAAAAAAAAATTCAAAACTGCGATTGAAAATGAGTAAGGGTGGGAATCCTGAATCCCCCCCTCACCTTACCACTGTCTTATTTTTGTAATAGCCCCCCCCCCCCCCTTTTATGAATTTACATTACCATGCTTGCTAAGCTTGGTTGCCCTCTCTCCTTTAGACCTGCTACATTTAAGAGGAGTAACTCAAATCAAAAGGGGTAGCAAGTAGCCTCCCTTTGATTTTTTTTCATATGCTGGCTAAGTCACAGAATGCAGGCGATGCTTAAAGAGTTGTCACTACCTTGATAGTAAGTTATTCGTTAGTACAATGTATTTGTTTTATAAAGGCCTATCACAAAAATTACAAGTACACACGATCTGTAAAATCGTAGTCTAGATTTAAAATCAATCTATTTTGTTTATTTGATGTCAACTCGAATTTTCTAGGTTCTGTAATCTCATGTTAGTATGGAATAAGACCATGGAACATTAACTGACAAAATTGGAAATATGCAGCTTACGTCATATCCATCTGTCGCAGTCAAACACTTGATGATATACAATGAAATGGGCGGGTACAATTTGACACGGACGTCTGCGAAAACATTGGATTGAAATTGCAATTCAAAATTCATTTTCAATCCACCTGAGCTGTTTTTGGCAAAGTTATAATGTGTGATCCAAACGACATATAATTTCAGTTCCCAGATACGTATAGTTAAAAATTAATCAATGGAGGTTAATTAATGGTGGAATCAGATTATTTACATGTATGATTATGCCTCACATAAAAGAATATATTATTATTTGTAGGATTACAAAAGTGACTTCTTCACTGAAAAAAAAAATTAAAATTCAATTTCAATCCACCTGAGCTGTTCTCAAACCTTAAGTGTGAATGTATGATCCAAAAGACAAATAAATTCAATTCCCAAATACATATTGTTTGAAATTCATATTTATATGAGTTTTTTAGCCTATAATTTTAAGGGCACGTCAGAGTTATAGAAGACAGAGATTATTTTTTCAGGGGACGGCCATTTGATTTTAGAAGGGGGGTGACAAGGATGACAAGAGCTTTTATTTTTTAGGTTTTTCTTCTCTGAAAAAAATGTTTGACAAACAAAAACAGGGAGGGGTTGTCCAAACTAGAAGAAAACTTTCTTATTCATTTCCAAGATCGTTCAGCCCACTCCTACCCCCCCCCCCCCAACACACACACACACACACATACACATACCAAACAGAAATCAAATATTTGTCCCTTTATATTTCTTTAAAAACATGGGATAGAAAATTCTGATTTACCGGGTATATATATTTCAAATTATTTGTCTTCTGGGTCAATCAGTAACACCGTGCGTTCTAGCGTAGCTGAGGTGGATTGAAAATGAATTTCAAACTAGAATTTCAATCCAGTGTTTTCTCTGACGTCTGTGTCAAATTGTACCTGCCCATTTCATTGTCTATCATTAAATGTTTTGGCTGTAACAGATGGAAATGACGTAAGCTGCATATTTCCAATTTTGCCAGTTAATGTTCCGCGGTCTTATAATCCAACGTTAACCATGTTTATGACATTTGTGATGCCTCTCGATGCTCATCTTAGCTTCGCTAGCCAAGCGTCTCTGATCCGAGAGTCCCTTAGATAGCGAATATGGTTGATACAAACTTCTCGACAAACATGATTTATGTTTTGTAAAGTGGTGAAACAATCATTATATGTACGTCCTGGAAGTTGCATCTGATGTAATCAACTTGTATCATAGCTATTTCCACTCCGCCACTGATGTACACGTTTTTCGGGTGATCTCCCTTTGATTACATAGTGACCATGGTGACGAGGAGTCGGTAGTTGCAAAAAACCAAAATACAAATAAATAGACTAGGAATTATTATTTTAAATATTTCAGCATATTGATGAGTTAAATAGAGATCAGCTACGTGAAGAAAAAGTCTTGGGTCAGGACTGAGGCAGGTAGTACACACAAGTACAAAAAGTCGACATTATTGCATCTGCATGCGGTCTCGTTTAACAAGAGGTTTTTGTACTTTTTTGCACCACAACACACAAAATAACATATTATAGACAGAACATTTGCATTTCTAAACTTTTTTGTATTTACAAAAACAATACAAAATCTTTTGCTTTTTAATTTATGTGAGGTATGCCCCGTAATTTCCACTGTGGTAGTCGGTGCTTAGAGATTGGAATCGAACTAAAAGTAAAAATTTCGATTTGGCCACACCCCTCGAACAAAATTAAAATATGCTCTACTTATTCATATTTTAATTCTCTTTTTAATGGTATAAATTTAATTTTGTTCGAAGGGTGTGGCCACAGCAAAAAATTGAACTAAAGACGGAAAAAATGCTTTATTTTGATAAAAAGTATGAAAGTGCACATGTTTAGACGTTTTCTGTACAAATATGACGTCATCAAATAAAAAAATCTGCATACACTTTTTAAGTTTGATACTTAAGGATAATATTTCTCTTGTTAATTTTCTTCTTCCCCTCAGTTTAATTTTCCTGAAAAAATAGGCCGATTTAGCCCCTTCGTGGATTTAGCTCTTTGATATCAAGCATCAGTATACTTTTAATAAATTAAGATTATTGAAATCATGAGGTAAACTTGGAGTACAGTTAAGAGCTACAGTTAAGGTTTTCATTGATAGAAAGGAAGAGAATTGTGACACAGATGAGCATTGTGGCCTATGTGTCTTTTGTGATTTACGGGTATTAAATAATGGAGAAAGTCTCCTCTAATCTAACTAGACAAATCTAGATTACGATTATTTGAATAGCATTATTTGTGTTTTAATTTTTTTAAAATAAGAAAAAGTTGGAACAAATATATTTTTATAAAACAAGAAACAAAATTTTACATTTTAAGTTTTAATTTTATAGATTCTACATTTAACGTTTTAATTTTATAGATGTATGTACCTGTGCCGTATCAAGGCTACTATCCCCCAGTTATGTACAGACCCTATATGTCCCCATTTGTTGGAGGAGGAATGGGAGGTAGAGGTCGAGTTCCAGCCAGAGTTATCTACCCTAGACAGGTACCAGTGAGTGGTTCTTCCCCAAAGTCTTCATCCCCTGCTAAGTCTTCTGGTTCAGATGGTGAAAGAGTGGCCAGCCCAGATATAACAAGAAATACTGAGTCCCCCCAAGGTCATGGGTCAAGCAAGAAAAGTCACTCCTCAAGGAGCAGGCCAATGGTGTATGTTCCTCGAATACCTGCACCTTATCCAGCTATGTACTATCCATACCAGCCTTATCCAGGATATTATTACCTACCTGAGGACCCAAGGTTAGCTCAAGCCCATTCAAGGTATCCTTATGTTGCACAGGGTATTCCACCTCAAGTGTATCCACACCCATACCCAGCAGGTCCCTACATAGGTCCTGCCATTCGAGCAGCTTCTCAGGTCTCCCCTGAGAACACTCCATCACCTGGGGAGAGAAGTCCCAATTCTCAGAGAAGTCATTCTCTGTCCCCAGGGCCTCAAAGACCTCCAAGATCACAGTCTCCTGCTCTGTCTCCCAACTCTGTTGCTGCAGCTGTGGCAAGTGGCCATTATCAGATACTTCCTAATGTGAAGCACATACCAGCACATCTTTATCCCAAGCCAGGGAGTTCCGGCAGTAACTCTAGGTCAAGCACACCCCTGGGTGGAAGAGACTCACCAGCAACTGAAAAAGCAGGTGAAGAGGTAAGGGCTAGTCTGGAGCATGATTACCTGAAGTCTGTTAGTCCAAAACTGGACTTGCAGGAGAGAAGAGCCTCAGCACAGAGTCCTCTTGCTAGGGTAATTTCTCAAAGACAAGGGTACATCAGAGAAGAACTTGAAGCTATGACATCCCACAGCAGTCAAAGAATGACCACAAATTCACACTACCAGAATATGATGGCTAATAACAGGAGTAGCAGTGCCACACTGCAGAATGGGGCAGGAGGAATGGAGAAGAATGACAAAAAGCCATCAAAACTGGATTTACAATCTGCCACTGGATTTAGTCGCCAGTTTAGTGAAGATATTACCACTCCAACAGAAATCACAAATTTGGTCAAAATGATTGACGACATTGATGATCAAGAGGCAAACAATTTATCCCACCAGTCATTTGCTGCACATAAAAACACATCGGGGCGACTGTACCTGAACATCCCACAGCAGCAGGAGATAGTGATGGGAGGCTCAGCTTCCTCATCCCCACCCTCAGGCAGTCCACCCTCTGGAGATCAGAAACCCACCTATGCTGGTGTCCTAAGGCGAAGATTGCCCTCAGCTCAAGGCGATATTGACCCCAGTCTACTGGAGCCCCAAACACCACACACCCCTTTAGGATTTACAACTCCCGGCACAGAAATAGATACAGACCCACTGGGCATTTTGAGAAACTTGAACATCAATGCATCTGCAGAAAGTCAAAGAACATACAAGTATTTCTCTTAAATCAAGTTCTGTTCACTAATTCTGTGAACTTATTTTTTAGTGATTAGATTTTAGAGTTGCTGATATTTGTCTCAAGAACACTGATTTTACTAAGTAGCAATGCTGCTTGCTGGTAGATTAGAAAAGTTTACATTGAAACCAAGACTGTTACTGCCTTAAATGGTTAATATTTATTTTTTTATGAAAAATTCATTCTCATGTTGAAGTGGTGCATATTCTCTTTATTATTATATACATATATATTGTGTGCTTTGCAATTTCTTCCAACACATATCTTGATTTGGTGTAAAAATTAAATATGGACTTGTAAAAATTAGCAAAAATAAATTGTTATTTTATTACTAATGTATAGTTTAAAAATTGAATATTTATAGAAAAGTTTCCTATAATCTTAGATTGTTACATAAAATTGATTTTAACTTTACATATCTGTAAATTTTGTGCTATTTTAATTTGAGTGTTTGTAACGTTATAAGTTTGACAGTCAACAATCCCCTCCACCACCATCCTGTTCCTTTAAATTAGAAATGTTTTGAAGGACCAAGTTTTATCAAATTTAATTAAAGGTAGCATATATGTTTACAAGAGTTATGAAAAATTAGGGGAATGAAAAATTTTGTAGATTGATAATAAAATGGACATGAAATGAGCCTATAAGTTTTCTTCCACTGACCCCTTTCTCCTATTATTAAGCTGTCAAACTACTTTTATGTAAATAATTGCAGACAGTGCTACTTTTTTTTCTTTTAAGTAGAACAAAGTGAGGATGTCTGTAAATTTTGATTGACATCTGAGCTTTGATTTTCAAGTCATATGTGTTGGTAATTAAATTGTATATATTGTAACCAAAAGTTAGACACCAGTAGAAGGTTTAGCTATTTTATTGCTTATTGTGTTTGTCAAGTCTTAAGTAGGCCTGCTCCCCTTGCTGTAAATAATTTTTTATTCAATGAACATTTCAATTTAAGATTATGTATAAGACCTAAAGAACTTTTATTTACAAAACTGCAAAAGTTTTCCCTTTGTTGGACAATCATTCTTGAACAAATGTCATGATGTTCAGTCAGTTATTAATCAATAGCATTAAAACTTAAGTGATGTTTGTAAAAAAAAAAATGCAATATTTTTGTTTACTGTAACAATTTTTGCCCCTTTGTGTTTGTAATGCTTAATGACTTATATAGTGCTGTGATGGCTTGAATAGTATATGTAATCTGCATATAAAATATGCTTTGCACTTGGACTAGTTTGAAAGGGAACAGTGCATTCTTTTACCTTTTGTGTAGTGAAACTTTTTTTTAATTTATCTATTATATACTAAAAGATTGTACATTGGAGTGCAGTGGTAAGATGAGACACTTGGAGAAGTTTAGATTTTGATAATTTGCAATGGGACTGTTTTCATGTCCTTCACTGGCTGGGCTAGCCTAGGTATTAACAACCAAGCTACATCCCCATTGTACTTATGATTAGTGCTATATTAAATTTTATTATTATCATATAAACACATAAATAAAGCATTATAATATGTTCATAATCTATTAAATTGCTAGACCTCAACCATTTTGACTTCTATTTAAATGGGAGAGGAAGAGGCAATTAATTAAGACGTGTTAACAAGGGGATGTATTGATGGCTGGGTACCAGTTTAGCTTTGACTGGTGGAGATGGACAACGCCTCCATTTTATATCTTGTAGCACCGTTTCCTTGTATGGTATTTGGACTGTTCATATGGTGTGGCAGCCATTTTCCTGGTTTCTCTACCAACTGCATGTCATTCCTGAGAGTATGTTAAAGCAACACAACACTTCTCTAGGTCTATGACGTGCAGTAGATAGAGGGGTCAGAGAAAATGTCCAGTCTGTTACACTAAGATAGAACTTAATATTTACTCTACTGTTAGATATTGTGTATTATTTATAATCTAGCTGTGGTATTTAATCGGATTTAATAAATTGTTATCCTCACAGTAATCGAATATTGTTATTGATTTTTATGAATATAACAGAAATGTGAAATACTTGAATATAGTGGCTTGAGCTGTTGAGTAATTTTAAGAAAGTCGGTTCATATCTTTAACTATGAAAATAAGAATGTATTTTTGTGGACTTAGATATGCAAGCTTTCCTCTTGTGCCTATGCAGGCATTTGTTTCCGTAATTAAAGTCTACCCGATAGTAAGTAGAAGTATTATACTTTTGGGGTAATTTTATTTCCTGTGCTCTGTTGGCAATTAAATAAGATGAAAAACCGACACAAGTCATCTGAAAATATGAGATTCTTGTAGTTTTTGGATCTTATTCGTACATTTATTATATTTTTCTTTACATTATGACTATATCTTAGCCTGCCCCAGCCTTAAAGGTGCCTGAATTGTGGCTGAAAGGTCACTGAAATATAGCTGCCATTCAGGAACTGAATTGCCACTGAAAAATCACTGAAAGCTGCTTTTCAGCTTTAACTGAAAGGTCTACTTTCTACTTGTGTATATAGATTAATATATTCAGCTTAAGGCATAGTGTCTATTTCTGCTCTCAATTCTTGAATATACATGTTCGATAAGGTTGAAAGCACATTATCCTTTTCTTTGTAATTTGTATACACCAATTTTTTTTCCCCCAAAATCCTAATTTATCCACTTCTGTTCTAATACTAGTATTTACAATCCAATCGTTATTTTCCTGTATCATTTCTTCATTACTCGTTTTAAGAATACAATAATCTTATTTCTTTCTTTCTTTCTTTTTTTTTTTTTGGTTGTTGAAAAATATAACCAATATTTCATATATTTTCCCTTAAAATTATGCCAAGAAAATCTACCTGACTCAAAAGAAACACGCTAAATTACTGATATTTTTCTTTAATCATCTTTTTTAAACATCATATTAACATTTTCAATATCGCATCCTTTGCTAAAATCCCATACTTCAATTACATGTACCTACTTTAAGGTTCATCATCCGTAAGTTCACTCAAAATTTTGTTGAATGCTTCTGATTTTCTAAAAGAAATTCATTTGTAATTATATTAAACACAATTTCAACCATCTTGGCTAGCCAAGGGTTTCTGATCCGCTTTTCTTCTCAAAATCGTTTGTGAGAAATCCTTGCCTAGCGAAGATGAATTTCAGCAAACTGTCATGTTCTAAATTTTAAATTTACCGCGTGTGAGTAAATACATGTACAGAATTAGTTGTCATGTTCTAAATTTTGTACATGTATTAAAACTCTCACATCCGTTAAATTCAAAATTTAGAACATGACAATACCATATACGGCAAAATTGTTATTATATATGGCATTTTCACGTGACAATTTTATACGAGACTAGAAGTCGTTATGCCAGTGAGAGTTATCTCGCTTATACACTGAAGAGGGTCGATGAACTTTAATATACATGTAACATTACATGTAGATGGAACTTTAATAATTTTGACAAAACATTTCATTGAAACACGATTCGTGATATTAATGATTGGTGTAAGTTATTTTTTATGATTATAAATACTAGTAGTTTAATTAATTCTTGAGTGATTTTACTTATTAGATTTTATAAGTCCTCATGAACGAAAGATCACTAATTATTTACTCATATTTGATGAAACGAACTGTGTAAATGAAAATACTTTCGAACATGAAATGATAAATTCAGACAAAGCTAGATTTGCATACATTTTAAGATATACAGCCATGTAAAATATTTTTTGTTTTGCAGGTATATATATTCACAGTCTTCCTAATTAGTAACAGGAATTTACGATGATCTTATGGCTTTTTTTTTTAGTTCAAAAGATACTGTATGTGTAAAAATTCGTTTTAGTTCTTTGAAGAATTAAAGACTTGGGAGATATCACAACTTCCAATGCCTTACTTCGCGGGGAGTTAGTCATAAAACCATTTGCGAAGTAATCTGAACTTTGCAGGCGACACCCCAATCCAACGGCTTCTGTCTGTTTCATGCTGTGGCCAGAATTCATCTTCTGACGAATCCTCGTCATATTCTAAATCTGTCTCTGATAAAGAATTCTCAGAATCATCACTTATTCCAAAACTGTTCGAATTTTTCTGCAGTCCTTGAGAAGCAAGAGAATTATTTGGATCTATATTCTCTACATATACCTGTTGGATTAAATCATTGTCCTTATCCGTAGTCTTCGCTTTAGAACACCCTTCATCTAGTTCGTCGTTAGTTTCTTTACTGACATCTCCTTCCTGAAATGATTTATTTTCCACTGAGTTCACTTCAAGAACATTCAAACATAACTGATCGTCTGCTTCTCTCAGTTCCGCAGAATTTTCTCGCGAGTTTCTGCAACTGATTTGCACACCAATTTCTTTCATCTCTGCAAAATCGAAATCATTGCCGACACCAACATCACAGATTTGAATTCCATTCGCATTCACTTTCCAGGGAGTACTTCCGTCCTTCAATTTCGGCATGGCCGGAAACACAGGGGAGGTTATGTACGGTATATCATGTTCCTCCAAGTCTAAATCTAACCCTAGATCGTCATCATCCGAAAAATCCGAATCGCTGAAATCTACGGCGTCTTCCTTTGACTGAATGTACAATTTCACTTCGCTCATGGCAATTCCTAAATAATCCCTATGCACTATAAGGGACAACTTTTCCCTTTGTTCTGTTTTTATTTTGCGTTTTAAAATTCTATTACTTATTTATTGATATATACTGTTTACATTTCCTCCCGAGATAAGTTTTGAATACACACAGTTTTCCTTTAAATATCCTTTTGTCACAAATAGGAACCAGAATGCTGAATTTTAAACTGAACCCACCAAGACAAATATCTTTTAAATCAATTCAATCGATTAAGTAAGCACATATTCATAAAATGACTTGATGGGTTGTCGAATCTTTAAATGTTTCAATCAAATGACTTAGAACAGCTATTTTGAATAAAAAAGCGATCGTGCAATAAAAATCTAATAAATTATGATTTATCACTGCGTTCTTGGTGGTAATTTCCTATCAAATGTGTTGGTTCCTCATTAAATCGTTCAAACATTCTAAAGTGCTTGAGTTAAGGGCATGATGTTTTGGGAAATTGCCATGAAGTGCTTACTTGTATGTACTGAGGAGAAAAAGCGGTAAACCTGTGATCTATTTGATGGGAAAATATCAATATGACCGTCTCGAAAAAGAGTGCAGATTGAAAATTAAAGTCTTAAATATCGTTACGTGCAGAGAGTTAAGAAATTGTTACACGGTTTAAGTAAAGATATGTTTAATCATGTCTAAGTTTATCCAAAGTGGAATAAATCCAATTGATCGTTTAGTATATAATTAACATAAATTTATTCAAAGTTTTATAGGATCAATTGAGAATTCACACAGAGTAGTTTAACAAGTTTAATAATAAAAAAAGAAGGTCCAAGTAAGTTACCAAAGATGTTAAACAATTCAGTAAGTCCAGAAAATTATCCAAAGCTGGCAGTTTTTCTAGACAAAGGGTTTTTAATGTACATGCATGTATAGAGTTTGCTTGGTCAAGACATGAAATTTGGTGGCTTATTTCTCCAACCACTTATCAGATAATTATGACGACTTGTCAGATCTTTATGTCAACTTGTTAGATTCTTAAGTCAACTTGTCACACATTTATGTTGACTTGACAGATAATAATCCTCATGATTAGGAACTCGGTATCTTGATATTAAAGCTTGATAATGCCGCTAACTGACATCTATTTCATATCATAACATCTGACAAGTCGATATAATTTTCTGATAAATCATCATAATTTTCTGACACGTCGACTTGTCAGATGTTAAGTCGACTTGTCGGATAAGGATGTCAACTTGTCGAATGTTTCGTCAACTTGTCAGATAAATATGTTGACCTGTCGTATTTTTATGTCGACTTGTCAGATAGTTATGATGATTTGTCAGTTCCTATTGTCGACTTGTCAGTAAAATAAGATGTCAACTGGATGGTACAAGCTTGCCATGGACACATTTTCTTGTTGAATTTTAAGACACGTGAATAAATGACAAATCAACCAAAAAAAAAACAACAACAACAACAAAAAACTGACAAGTCAACATAATTATCTGAGATAATGATCTGACAAGTCGACATAATGATCTGACAAGTCGACAAAGTTATCTGACATGTGGTGGCAGAAGACAAAATGGGCATGAACTCGTTTTCATGTTGAATTTTTAAACAGGGCATGTCAACAAAAAACTTTGACAAGTCGATATTTTTCTCTGAAAAGTCAACATAAACATCTCACAAGTCAACGCAAACATTTGACAAGTGGTAATTGCAGTAATATGCCACCATAATAAAAGTACTTCCTATACAAGATACGATAAAACTTCAAAATCTTGCATCTATGGATGCTTGTCTAAGGCTCTTTCCGTTGAACAATGATGGATGGACAAAAATTAATACCTTCTCAAAATTCAAGGTAAAGATAGGATCAAGATTTTTTTCTGGGTCCAATTCCCATGTTTTCTCAATAGGGTAACTGAACTCCATGCAGGCATTTACATGTGATGACCTAAAATATATCAGTTTTATTCTGAAACTTGCGTAGACAGTATGGAGTATGGCAAGACAGAGTAAATGATGAATGGACAAACTCCCTTCCTTAAAATTTCAAATTAATGTTTGTTGTACACCCGCTCCCTAACACATTCTTTTTTAACATTTTTTATGGGGATTCATTTTATCGGGGAAGCCCAAGTCTCTTTATCGAAATTTTGATCCGCTAATATTAATACAAATATGGTACTCTTTCCATTTAAATTTCTTTACTTAACATCAAACGATCGGATCGGTCTTCTCTATGTAATTCCAAAACAAAAAATACTAAGCATATTACTATTAACATTTCTAACATTATCTTTCTAGTAATTGTAGTTCGTGGAATTTAATTAAACCTCTTTCAATTTATTTATCTAGCCATGCACATACATGCAATTACTGTATGTCACTTCCTTTGTTCCACAAACCTGTCTTTCCTTCTAATGTCATTAACAAACTAAAATATATATAATATAAACTTTATAATAACTTCCAGTGAAATTTGGTTTGGTATTTTGGTGGGCTTTCCATAAGATAAGATAGGGAGGTTGTGGGACAGTTAACAGTTTTTCCTCCCAAAAATATGTTTAGGCATAGATATATACATGAATTTTCGATGAAAAGCTTATTAATGTTCAGAAAAATATTTATATTAAAAGCATTCCAGTTTTTAACCCAGTTGCTGATGTAGTGTAGATACATGTACCAGGCATTGCTCGCTGCGTGTGAAGAATCGATTCAAGAAGGCTTAAAATGTACTCTTATTTGAGAAACACTGTAGATGAATAGAACTGATTCTTCATACATACTTATATATTTCTAGATTTTTTGTCAAATACGCAATGCTCAGCAAGAGGAAGATTCTGTTTTAGAAAATTTAACTGAAAAATGATTGATGTACTGTATGCCTGTGCCAGAATGAATTATCCGCTTAAATGAAAGATCTCTCCTAAAATCATATCTGCTGCCACCAATTGTTGTACTCTGAAGAACAGCATTTGTTTTTTTTTTTTATTCAAAACTAGAAAATCTTAACTATATTCAAAAAGGTTATTTCACGAAGAAATACTAATTTTTTTAGACCAAATTATTACTACATGTATGAAAAGTATTATTAACGTCAATTATGCACATTTTTTTTCAAAAAAAAAGGTAAAAGATTTTTGAAATAGTGACATGCCTAAAATTTATGAATAACTAAAAGTTGCCGAAAAAAATTGCAATCACTCAACAAGTACACTTAATAATAGGAGTATGTATTATGGAGATCAACTTATTTCTTCTGCTGAATCAGGAACAGATAATTTATTTTCAAAACTATGTAGATAGAACAATTAGTTTCAAAAATGGATGAACATGCACAGGAAAAGTCAGAAGCAGTCATATGTTTCTAGGGAAAAAAGTTTTTTGAGACCCCCATACAAACAAATTATCACTTAAAGCTTTCTACACTAGCATCAGCAGCTTCAAACCTGTTTCAAAAATATTCCTCATCAGATAAGCACATATACACAGTCAAGACAGAATGAACAGATATTCACATCACCAAGAAGTGGCGTTTATTTTTTAAAGGTTGCGTCGCAGTGTTAAAATGTGGTGAAAGTAAATTTAAAACCATAAATTTTAATATTATGTGGCAGAAGAATATTAAATAAAAGAGTGAAATGGTCACGAGGTGTCAATTAAAACGTTTCGCTCACGTTAAAGATGCTCACCATTAAGGATTTTAACTTAAGAGGAGGGAGGCTTGTATGTAGATTTGATCACGTATTTAAACAGTTAACATTTGAACCAGGGATCCATGTCGTAACCCCCCCCCTTTTCAACTTTTTTTGTTATATAGAAATCACTAATCAGCAAAGTAAGCACAAAAGTGGCACTGCTATGAACAGTGTCAGAGGCAGAAATTTGAACAAAGTTATTAGAATTTACAATTTTTCTATGAATATACTTTGCAAAGAAAACGCGTTGGTATTTGTAATAATACTTATACGGTCTGTAAATATACAAAATATACAATTACGAACTGTTGACACTGATCATACGAAGCCGAGTTAATGTGAAGATATAAGACTTTATTTATTGCAGTCTGTAAACAGATAATATTAAAATATTTCTTAAATATATTCCCTTTCAAATTCCATGTGCCAAGCACCATTTTATATTTTACTCAAACTGATTTACTGGTAAAATATTCTTTAAGAAATATTCATCAAATCAATAGTTTTCTCATGTTTCAAGTTCAAAAATTTAATCCCAGTAATACCTTAAAAAGTAAAATTTTAATACAAAACGAACAGCTTTTCAGTTGCACACTTAATTTTTTTTCCTCTGACGGCGTTCACAATCAGCTTCTGTGTGCGTGTCCTCAAATGGCTCCCTGAATTATTTTCATCATCACGTTATTTCAGACTAAAGATTGATCAATTATTGCAATTGGTGATATATATTTATGAACAATTACTTCAACAATTTCAGATTGTGGAATGGTGACCTATACTTCATTTCCACACATGCTTATTGTCGAATTATTTGTTTTACAAAAGTAAATTTCATCTAAACATATACACGAAAGTAATTTTTTTGCATACTGACAAATAAAGTGCATAGGCTTTGGTTAATATTTCCCAATGCAAATGTAAGGAAAAGTTATTTTTATAACCATTGTGGAAATAATCAGAGATTCGAGAGGTGATATATAACTTTTTGTACATATATTCTGATTGTACCTAAAACTGCTTGCAAAGTTTCACTTAAAGCAGCATATAAACTAGTTAAGTATAGCAACACTGCTTTTATCACAGCTATATATTGACAACAATTACATTGAATTACAAAGGAATTACCTTCACAGAGGAAATAATTAACAAGAATAAATTAAACAAACTTTAAAAAAAAAAATTAATTAAGGTACATGCATTCTGTAAGTCTATACGTACGCAGATATATTCCAACTGAAGTGCTGTACATTAAACTCACCCTATAATGTACAGATGTGTCATGTACCTTTCACAATTTAGTCAACATTCGATGAATCTCTTTACTTTCATTAGCTTGTCCATCCTTCGGGTTCTAAAAATCAGCAGTGAAGTAACTGAAAATGCTCACCAAAAAGTGATTGAATTCACAAAGGAATGTGTATCTACCCATGCCATTTTTTTCGCAGCAACATAATTAAATGTATCAATATTCATACAGAAAAAAATCACAAATAATATTTAAGGAAATATCACTAAACACATAAATTAAACATTTCCTGTTGAAAACTGATTAACAAACATTTTATCAGTTTATTAAAACAAACAAATTAAAAAAAAAACAAAAAAAAAAACAAGATACTACAAATAACTTCCAAATCAATTTCATACCAATAAGCATTGGTATATAAGGCAAGCTTAAAGGATGTCTCTGAAATTGTCAATTGATTGTCCTTTTTTAAGGAAGCACCTTTTAACTATTTACAAGACTGTTTCAAAAAGTTAAACCTCATACTATCTTTGGATCATTATTAAGCAGCATGAATGAATCATTTTCAGACTTATTTAAATAAATAAATAATAATTTCAATAGTTACTGTTCCTGGTTAAGGGTAGGACATCCTTAATATACTAGTACACGTATGAAGCATCCGAAGAACACGTTTATTACAAATTATTCAATTCCACTGGTACACGTCTGAGAGGTCATATCTTTATTTCCTCTCTCTCCTGACATCACAAGATAAGCTATGACGTAAGAGACGGATTCCATTAGCAGAAGAACAAGAAAGACTAAGAAAAAGAGTTTATCTAGGGCCAAACACATTCTGCCCCAATCGTCCTTTGGTTCGTCTAAACTTTGTGTCACATCACAGCTTCCACGGTCATCGTCACGTGACGTATTCTGTCTGTCTGTTATGTTTGACAAATCATCATCTCTTTTTTTGCAAGAAAAAGGTGAACCTATGTTCAAAAATTTAGACACAAGTTTTTGTACACATGGCGACACTTTTCTTTTTTCTCTGTGGAAAAGACGCGTCACTATGGTAACGGCTATTACTATGCAGGTGCTACATCCCAGTTTAAAAACAAGTACGTAACTTAGCAACGGCATTGGGTTTGAAGTTTCAGGAATTATCTCCCCTATATAAACCATAAATACCGTGAAAGACAGGAGAACTGTTATTGAGAAAGAAACTCTTTCCCCTGCCTGGACAGGCTGGAAGAAAACGGTAAGATTAAGAAACCCAAGCATCATCACTGGAAGAATAATGTTCACGAGGGCAAAGGTAGATCGTCGATGTATTGTAACAGGAAATGCCACAGCAAACAGTTCCCGATTTGGTATTTTGACTATGCACGGATTCGTTGTCCGGTACGTCCACTTTCCGTCGTCATCTCTTTCTTCGAAGTTTTCTTTGATAATGGGATCCTTCATTATATCTATCGTAAATGGCGAGGCATATTCCGGAAACAGAAAATTTTCAAATGGAATGAATAGAAGAACACACTCGTGGGAATCGAATGGAAAATATTTTACGTTCGGATCACACGTGACGTCAAACACTCCGGCGATAAGCAAATTAGCAGTTCCATCATTTGTGTACCAAATGGCAAATTCTTCCTTTTTGTCGTTGATGATGATGAATTTAGAGAAAGTATTTAAAAGTGATATTTGGGGCTTTCAGACTTCTGACGACGTAAAAGGTATCAGCATTGTATTATTAAACTTCAGTGGGTCCCAGGATAAACGTCTATCAGACCAATTTAACCGAAGCATCCCGTTACATTCAAATCGACCCCGTATTTCATCAAATTCGTTGAGACTCAACAATTCAAAATAAAGTCCAATGGTTACCATTATAGATGGTGGAATATTCTTTCTGTAACTTGACCTTTCGTCACTTCTATTCAGCAAAACGTCCTGTAAATTGGCGGTCTGTCTTAGATAAAGTGCATCTGCAGTAGAATATTCCGACTTTGACACTTTAACGCAAAACAACAAAGTGACAAGAGCTTTAAGACAGAACATTGTGTTTAGCATTGGAAAACGTTAATTCAGACCCTTGTTATTCGTTCACTGAGTATTTGGTGAATAAGTAAATCTGCTGCCACATATCTCGGTCTTTATCTCCCGGTGGAAAGGGAAATTTATAAACAGAAGAAGCAAATACAGTTTTCATATACAGTATAACACACTCTTGTAGGAGGAAAATCTGGTTTCTATCAATCGTACAATTGATATACACAAAAACAAATTGAATGTATACTAAATAGCTATTCATATACACATGTAACTTTTTTCGTGAAAATTGATTTTTAATTTGGTTTTGGGAAAATATTTTTCTCTCCAGAAATTAGTACTTGTACTGATGTTCTGAATGTAGATTTTATTTCATCAAATAATTACAGTAGTCATATTGCAGAATTTGATTGATTAACGGTAAATAAAAGACACCAAAATTAATCATTTTAAATTTCCAAACAAAAGGAAATTAATTTTCTAATAAAGAACATAAAATAGTGTATATGCTAAATGTACATAAACCATGCAATTAAAACTATGCACATATGAAACAAATGGGAAACATTATAAAGTTGTTTCTTAGGCAAATCATAACATAACACAATAAAGTATATGTTCTAACAAACACTAGTTAGCCATAACAATGATTGCATATGCACAGACAGTTATGATAAATGCAAAGAACGATACAGTAAAGCAAAAATAGTCAAAAGCATGTCCAACGTCAACCCATTTTATATGTTCATATTCCATGTTCTCTTGAACAGATAACGTTTGATTGTTGTCAATAACTTCCCTATATGTTGACGAAGGGGGCGCGCTTCTTCTTTTAGAACCAGCAAGAGTTTTCACGACTCCTTTTAGCCAGTCTGGGGGTTTTAGGTGGTCAGGCTTATAGTAAAGACGAAGTCCCAGAATGGACACCACAACAATTATCCCGCTCTCTAACAACATCAGCATGAGGATGTAGCAGAGAATCGGAACAGGGGCGGTATTTTTCGGCATCGTTGCACTCACAATTGTCATGAAAACCGCAAATGAGAGGAGGACCGTTATGGCGAATGAGATCCGCTCCCCACATTCTGGAGGGATCAGAAATGCACAAGCGTTCAGCAACCCTAAACACAGAATCGGAATGCATATACTTAAAATCGAAAACTCGGGGCGCCTCTTGATTTTGAATTTATAGACAGCACTTGAAAAATCAAATGGCTCAGAATATGCCGAATTATCAAAAATATCCCATTCTCCAAAATTGGCATAAACATTTAATTTTAATTCAGCTATAAGGTTAATTTCTTTGAACACATGATCGAGAGTAATAAACTTCACATAACAAGTGTGTACATCAAATGGGTAATACCGTAAGTTTGGTTTGCACGTGCTTCTAACAGTTCCTCCTTTAAGCCAAATAGCTAGACCATTGTAATAAATTCTGACGGAAAATAAGTCCTCAGGAAAAATTGGAATGCGGTCTGTCGGGTTAGCTAGAGAGATGTCGGGGGTCCACACTTTATCCTCGGGAACCACAAGGTGAGTCACATTGCCATATTTTTTTGGATTCCAATGTAAATATATATCCGTCCATCGAACATCTACTCCCATTGCTATGGAAATTTGACTCGTCACTTCATTAAATTCAGTTATCCCCCTTGGTATAAACCGCACCGTTACATTCAAGACATCATTGTGTTGGCTTATTGGCATAATCATGTTGCTGTAGCCTTTAAACAGATCATCTACGAGTCTTTTAGCATCAGGCGAAGCCTTCGCGTACAAACAAATAAACATAAAGATTAAAATAATTCGGGAGAAGAAATCCCTCCGATAGATTCTCATCTCGATTTAATATGAACCTATCAGTCAAGTTCCTTAATTTAACGCTCCAACCACAACGTGCTACTTGATACACAAAATTTTTTTTCTATGTTTACAGAAAGTGCACGAACGCCGTCTGTGATTAGATTATTGAAAGCTGTGGCTTATTTCATCCTGTTTTCAATGATAAATATCTACATTTAATTCTTTTAATTTACCAGAATTAGAATAAGCAGACAATACCAGTCATTGCCTTTTTATCCAATATTATACCATTTCGTACTTGCATTTAAGTACGGAATAAATGCAGAATTACATAATTCAATAGTTATTGCATAATATATATAAGAATTAAATTCAGTGCCTGCAGATTAGTGAATGAATCATCTGCTGTTATGACATATTTTTCCCTCTCTGTATTTTAATAATTTATGTAAATTTGTGAATTATGGATAAACATTATACATGTATTTTGTCTTATTTAGAGTTCTAAAAATGAAAAATAAAGCCCCCTATTTACTCACATGCAGGTGTAAATTTTATATTTTTTTAAATGTATGCACATTTAACTCCTGGTGTACAAATGAGATTTTTTTTCGAGTATTATCAATTAACAATAGTTACTTTCATTCACAAGTCGATTCGATATATCCTAGTGAACTTGAAATAAAGAATATAACAGAGTCTGACACATCTGTTTCATATTTGGATATTTTACTTTAAAAAAGACGTTCATGGTTAAACGAACAACAAAACTTTATGATAAACGTGATTACTTCAACTTTTCTATAGTCAACTTCCCTTACTTATGTAGCAACATACCCTTATCATCATTCTGCATAATGGGGTTTATGTCTCCCAGTTGATTCGATACGCAAGAGAATAATCTACGTACGATCAATTTTTAAAACGGAGCAAGCTATTAACTAACAAGTTGATGAAACAAGGATTTCAACAGTCTCGTTTGAAGTCATCATTTTGCAAGTTCTATGGTCGATACAATGACCTTATCAGCAAATACAATCTATCATTATAGGTCAAATGCTGACTGACGTTTGTCATGTTACATGCAATTGTTAGGTCATTATTTACACACTGGATTTTTTTTACGGATTTTTCCCTTTACGCGATCATGACAAGGAGCACCTTATGGATGTGACCGGTCGACAGAGGGTGCTTACTTCTCCATGGCATCTGATCGCGCCTCTGATGTTTTTGGAGATCCGTGTTTGCTCTGCTCCCGATTTGTTTCGTTTTGATGGACTATGACCTGAGGTAATGTTCGTTACCTCCATATTTCATTAGATGAGTTCACATACACTAGCAAACTGTGTAAATCAGTATCAAGTTAGCAATTTCCATGCATTTCTGTAGATTTTGTTTTGGACTTTTCTACTTTTTTTCTTCAATGCCATGTTCTTCCCATGTACCTGGGGAATATTTGTTTCTTCAACTGTCCTTGTAGTTCCCGTTCTCCTCGCCGTTTTTATTCAACTTCTACTTAAAATGTATAATATACTGACGAAGCAGAGGGCTGGTTCTCCTTGTAATATAGATCTGGATGCAATTTATCAAGAAATGGTGCAATTCAAAAATCTGCACATGTGTGTAAATACAAATAGGTGCAAAATGCGAATTTGTAAAAGGAGATGGGTGAACAAGGCGTATGGAATGCATATAGCTTCATATATATAAAAATCATATTCAATGTGTGAATTTAGCACGCATTTAGAGTTAAGTTCTCAATATTGAAAATGAAATACTAGTAAAGAAAAACAAAACTTTTCTGAGGAAAATTTTCTTGGCAAAATTATTATGTTATTAAAAAATAATGCGGTATTTGTGGATTCGAAGCCTAGCAATAAAAATCCTGAGTAACATTTTCCTTCGAGAGTAACACGCTAACTACCGGTACTACGCTACGCAGCTCCTGAGGACAATCCTTCGAAAAAATAGAGCAAAGACCCACTCATATCGAAAAATTGTGCTATAGTATGAGTTAATGCTAAATTCACAGATTGATTATGATTTTTTTTTATACATTTGAAGTGTACAAATGTGATATATTCCTGTACATGTACACAAATTGTGCAGCCAGGTGTATTTTGGGGCATGTGAAAGGAGGGTACGTACCCAAGATTTGCACATGTCTATTTTACTCCTAGTGCAAAATTTACATCTAGTCAGACTAGGTGAAAATTAACTTTTAAGCATATGAGTATTAATTTACTCCTGATGTATTTCCATTCAACCATGTGAAAGCTTAGCAATATTTACACTCGTGCAGATATTGAAATTGTCTAAAAAAAAAATGTTGCATTAAAAGGTTAAAAATTGCACCCTTTCATATAATAGAAAGAGCAGTTCAAATATAACTTAAATTAGAAATGGCGAAAATTAGATGAACAAACAAACGTTGTTCTTAGTACATATGTATGCATTAGAAAAAAACAAGAGGTATATGGGCCACATCGCTCACCTGAGCACATTGGCTAGGAAAAAGCATAAATCAGTTAAATATTGAAAAGTTTACAGGATGGGGACTTGAATCTTAAACTACCTGAGGATGCTTCCATATCAGCATAACAAATGGCTTTGCTGTTCTTGAGCAGAAAATGTTTTCCCTTTGTATATTTTTATCCCCCATTGTGGCCCCTCCCTATCCCCGGGGTTCATCATTTGAAAAAAATGAATCAACACTACCCGAGGATGCTTTCATATAAATTAGACTAAACATGGTATTTCTGTTCTTGAGAAGAAGATTTTTTCCTAAAAGATATATTCCTATGTAAAACTTTGATCCCCCATTGTGGCCCCACCCCCCGGGGGTCATGATTTAAACAAACTTGAATCTACACTACCTGATGATGATTCCAAATCAATATGACTAAACATGGCTTTTCTGTTCTCGAGAAGATTTTTTTCCTTTATATTCCTATGTAAAACTTTGATCCCCCATTGTGGCCCCACCCTACCCCCGGGGATCATGATTTGAATAAACATGAATCTACACTACCTGAGTATGCTTCCATATCAAAATGACTAATACATGTAATGGCTTTGCAGTTTTAGAGAATATGAAGAGAATTTTTAGTTTTTTTCCCTATATATCTCTATGTAAAACTTTGATCCCCCATTGTGATCCTACCCTATCCCCGGGGTCATGATTTGAACAAACGTGAATCTATACTATCTGAGGATGCTTCCATATCAAAATGACTAATCATGGTTTTGCTGTTCTTTAGAAGATTTTGCAAAAAAAATTCCTATGTATTCCTTTGTAAAATTTTGAGAAGAAGATTTTTAAAGTTTTTTTCATATACACTAGACAAAATTGCTAACGCACCACCAAAGAAAATTAATATTTTACTTTTTAGACTTGTTAATGATGTATTTGATGTATAATAATGGTACCTCAGTACAAAATGAAGCATTAAAATATGTTAACTGATAAATAACTTCAATGTTAATTGAAGCGTAATCATTTCATAGAAAAAATGAAAATCGTGTCCATACCTTTTTGGAGGAATAAATTTCTATTTTATTCTTTTTGTTTGTGTTATTTATCTGTGTACTAATTAAAAACTCAGAAAAAATATTCCACTGTATGCGGTGTTTGACCCTTGAAGAGCGTGCTAAAGCAATCAGTATGGTATCTTCAGGGGATCCTTCGGATAATTTTGTAAAAATTTGAAACAATTAAAAAAATATGCATGCCTCTAGTAAAAAGTTGTTGCAAATAGATTAACAAACAAAAATGTTTATTATAGATAGTCACGGCATTACGTAAGCACCACACGGCAATTTCTAGATTGTTCCACAAAATTGGGGCAACCGGAAGTTGGGTGGACTGGGTATGGACACCAAGGCACTGGATGGATACTAGGCTATATGATAGTCAATTGCTGTATATTAGTTGATTTCTAACCGGGAGACTGCTTCTGGTGCATCCTCTCGGGACCACCATCGATGGTCACCAACTTCATATCTGGGCAAAAAACGGTGTGCGGTGCACGTCGGGAAATTGGTTTTCGGGCAAGAAGGTCATTTAAGGGTCTTGTCATGACACCAATGCATTTGTCAATTCCACTGTATTGGGAAAGATAGCAAATAAGACATACTAGTACCAGTTAGGCAAATGTTCAATTCACATACAAGAATATCAAGTGGTGCGTTAGCGATTTTGTCTAGTGTATAATCCTACATGTATGTAAAACTTTGATTCCCATTGTGGCCCCACCCTATCCCCAGGGGTCATGATTTGAACAAACTTGAAGATTTTTGAAAGATGACGCAAAATTTTTTACTAATTCTTAATTATCTCCCCTGAAAGAAAGCGTGGTCCTTTATTTGAACAAAACTTAAATCCCCTTCACCCAAGGATGCTTTTTGGCTAGTTTGGTCGAAATTGGCTCAGTGGTTCTTGAGAAGAAGTCGAAAATGTGAAAAGTTTACAGACGGACAGACAGAAGGACAGACAGCTAGACAGACGGACGCCAGACGAAATGTGATCAGACAATTAAAAAAAAATACCCCTAAAATATTTAACAGAATGCCTGTAAATTACCTACTTTATACTGATTTACACACAGTTTGAACTCTTCGCAAAAATTTCATTTACACATAAAGGGTAAAGTTTGTATACGTGTTAATTTTATCAGATTGGTTAACGCATACCTATTCTGCTTCAGATGGCAATCATTGCTTGAATTGTTAAGTACGGACAAAGAGAGATAACTTGTATTATTACATTTTCAATAATGAAATACTGTGATTTATTTATTGAATAAAAGTGATATTCTCTCACAGTGTGAAAGGATACCAAAGTGATATTCTCTCACAGTGTGAAAGGATATCAAAGTAGGTAAAAAGATAATTTCTGGCCTGTCATAAGATAGAGATAGTAACTAAACCGTCATGATAGAGACTAAAACTGCCAAAGTTTCTCCAAATATGTTGTTAAAATCCGTTTTCCAATCTCGCAATCGCTTATAGCTATCATATGACGTCTCAATCGGTCAACTATGACGTCACAGCCTATGACACCCTGTTGCGAAAAGACAGAGTCAAAGGGAAAATCAAAGAAAATGTAATAAACAGAAAATTCAATGTTTTGTAGATGAATATGGATTTTATTTCACTCGTGAGACAGGATTTTTTGATATTTTCACTCGTCCCACTCGTGAAATAAATTCCATATTCATCTACAAAACATTGAATATCCTCTATTAATTTATCTCCATATTCGAAGTTCCGGAGTCTGCAATGTTTTAGTTTAACATAAAATAATCATAATGGATAAATAGAAAAATATAAATAAACTATAAGCTAGAGGTGTTGTAAGCACAGCGCTTACAAAATGATACCCCCGCTTCCATATGAGTATAATGACAAAGTCCCATTTCTTTCCTATGGGAAACCTCACATATCTGTCAATAGAAGGTGCACAATGGCACAATAGAGAAAGAATGGCAGTGTCCATTGTTTTAGTATGGAAAACCTCAAATATTTGTCTGATCGACACGAAAAATAGGAGGTGCACAATGGCACCATGTAAATAAAGATTCTGTGAAAGTTTCATTAAATGTTAATTAGTGGTATAGGAGGAATTGGCTATAATTTTAATTGGATACCCCCTAAAGTTATAGAAAGAATGTCAGTGTCTTTGTTCTGCTATGGGAAACCCAAAATATCCGTCCTATCAAACATATAAAGGAGGAGGTGCACAATGGCACTATATAGTAAAGATTTTTGGAAGTCTCATTGAATTCAATTAAGTGTTATAGGAGGAGTTGCGGATTAGAGATGGGTACCTCCAAGTGTTACGGACGTACGGTTGGACGTATAGAAGGTCGTATCGATGGGCACTCCCATACCTATATATATTCCCCGCTTTTCAAGCGGGGGTATAATAAATAAATATTAATGATATAACTATGGTGTATTGTTGAGATAAGCTGGAGGAGGAATACCATCATTGCTGCACTCACAAAGCTAGCTCTATGTACATGTTCTTTTAAAAACGTTTGTTTCAAAGCAGTCAGACCTAAAAATTGTTACGTTGTCTAGAAAGTTTGCATAGAATATCTGAAGTACTATATGCACAGAATTTTGTAAAACTCATATAATAATGGTTCAAAATGGGGAATGTTCATCAATTAGGACTAGTGGCAACAAAATTTGATAAATTCCTCTTTTAAAACATGGATGGAATTTGTGCCATTTAGCCAAAAGCCTTTGAAAACATCAATATACATGTATTTCGTGCAAAGTTTTCCCGTTCAGTAGTGACATTTATATAAATGTGCATTATTTTTTCACAGTGTTTTAATAATCATTTAAATTTTATTAAACAGTTGTTTGAATTTTTCAAGTAAAACTCTCTAAATAAAATCACTTTCTTTAATTAATTCATTCAAGTATAACATCATGAAAAACAACCTGCATGACAAAGAAGTCGTTAATGTTTTAAATACATGTATATACGTTGTGGAATTTAAAGTATTAAATCGATGCGAGTGATTTTTACTATGTAAAAATGTCAAATGTGATAAGTGAAGTAAAATTTATAAGTTTAAAGATGATGATACGAGGGTCGTTCAGTAAGTAATGCAACATACGGTTTATCATAATAAATGTAGAAGCAATTAATTTTATTTTTTCACAGTCGAGAAGTACTATTTAAAATCTCACAATCACCAAAACCGTATGCTTTTTCCTACTCCCTTTGCAAAGAAATTCATTTTTAAAGTATGCATGGTCACTATTCTGAGCTGAAAACCGTTTAAAAATGGTCTACTTGAAGAAGATGACATGAGGGCGTATGTAAAAACTGCGATTCGTTACAAATATCGCTGAAGAACCAATATGAAAGATATGGTTTTGATATCTGGAAAGACAAGCCTTAAAACTAGACAGTGTTGAGATGGATTAAGAAATCCAAAAATGGAAATGGAGTATTACAAGATTGCAGTTGAACTGGTTGATCAAAATCTGTAGGAACACCAAAGATTTACAGTGAAAGAAATTGCTAAGACACTAAACAATTCATCATCACAGTTTATAGATTTCTGACAAAGGAAAAATGTATCTAGAAATATTTCTTTATCAGATGGGTGCCTTATTTCCTTACAGATGCCTGTTAATTGCGCCAAAGGTCTAGTAAAAAATAAATATTATTACAAAAAAGGTATGCTAATTTGGGTTATGAATTTTAAAACATTGGTACATTTTTTACAGCCAAAAAGGAAGAACAATTACAAAAAGTGGAAACAGAGAGAAAGCTGTCGTTTTATTATTGCAAAGAAAAGCCAGAGCTCCAAACATTTCTTATACAGGTTTTCTCTTTAGTCAAGAGGTCCAGTATTACATGAACCTACACCCAAAGGAAGGAAAATCAATGGTTGTTTCATGTTAAAATTGCATTGAGGAAAATTCTTCAGTTTTTTCTGTGAGGGAAGTCCAAATACCGGTCCTGGGGTTAATTTCCTTGCGTCTTACAACGCTGAGCACTGCAAATAACCCTGGAGATGTAAATGAAATTTTGAAGAAAAGAACATTTACACATCTTAGCCATCCTCGTATTCGCGAAATATTAGTAATTGTGAGATTTTTTCTAAATTCAAAAACTCAAGAAAACAATCAAAAGACGACTTTACAATTTAATGTATGTCATTGAGAGTGCTATTCATCAGTGTCTTTTGCGCATCCCAAAGATGAGCATGCTGAGGTTTTCAGGTCATAGGTATAAAAACTTTAGACATGTATTAAGGTTAACAGGGAATACTTTGAGTACTAGTAATTAAAAATATAAAGAAATTGCTTCTTGTACTTACTATATTTTATTTCCAATTATGTTAAAAATTAAGATATTCCACTACAAACAAAGATCCATTTAAAACTGGTCCTGTAATCAAAATGTAAAGTTGAAAACGGGTGGGTTATTGCTTGTATACATGCATGTCGTGTTAGATCTAGTTCTAACAGCTGTGGTTCATTTTACATGTAACTATTGAATAATTCTTTTTTTTCGTCCCCTTTATTTGTTATTTCGGTTTTTTTTCTTTTTTTGTTTTAAATCAAGTCACTCAGAGCTACAGAATTAAGATATGAACAAGTAAAGAAGAAAAGATTTCGCGTTGATAATGAATTTCTCGCCGATCATTATGTTACATTCATTGAAAACAAAATGAAATGGATCAGGAACAGTTTCACCATTTAAGAGGAATGCAGCTCCCTATAACTCAATTTGAAAATTTCACCAGATTGCAACCTAGCTGCAATAAAGCCTGTTAGAGATAAGACCAAATTCAAGCCCTCGGTAAGAATCTAAGCTTTTAAAGAGATATCAAATGATGTGACCTTCGTAAAAATTATCTATCGTATTGCAGAGATTTTCAGAACCTGTAGTTAAACCTTATCTTGCAAGTGCTGTCTTTTTTAAGGGTGAGATGAAGCAGTGTTCGGTTTGAATGCGATCTCTGACATGCTTAGTATTATCGGAGTGGTTTGAAATTTCCAAGATGCAAGTATAACACGAAATATAGAAATGCCTGGGAGAAGTTCTTTACCTACAGTCAATGACAGGAGGTTGTCAGAATTCAGTAATAAAAGAAAATAAATTGACTGGGAAAAAGTGATTTTAAGTTTCGTTTCATATTATGAAAATCAACTTTTACCACAAGTTTTCTTATTACTCAAGTAATTTGTAAGTCCTTTGTTTCTTCATCAATATTTCCTTGTTGAATATAATGCATCTAGTTGCTATCGCTGGGAATTTTCATTGTGCATGACTTAAACTTTGAAACTCATTCATGAAAAAAGACCCAGGTAATTAATAAATTACAATATATAACGAAAACTAGAGAAATACCTGCATAAGCTTCTTGCATCGGTTCACACTATACTATTAAATATCATATGGTGACGCATAAGTGATTCCTTAGCCTTGCTTTTTCCCTTTCATCAAATATGATTATGTAAGACAATAACAAATTCAAATATAAAGTTTCATGCTGCGTGATTCGTGTAGACAATTGCAACAGAAATTGATACGGCGTGCTTGATTTGATTGGAATCCATCACATCTCAGTTTTATCTTCAATTGTCTGTCTTAAAATGGTGCACCTGCAGATAAAGAGATAACTGTAAAAATTTTAACCCCAGCAATTAAAGTATGAGAACAGTGAGAATTACGAAATATTTCAGGGAATTCTGGTTCGTTTTTTTTCAAATTTTCTTGGAAACGATAAATTTAATGAGATGTTTCATATAGAATAAAATAAATATGACAGATCATAAGCATTTAGTGTTTTGCGTGAACGTGCCTGAGACCGCCGTCCCTGTTGGGTATTTCCACATTTTGATTTCTTGCCTATCAAGCGTTCTAGTATCTTTTAACCAATATGTTAAAGCAGACATGCATAATTATTGATAAAAGCTCATTCGACTTTACGGTGGTGATGGATCGTTTGTATTTACTGTTGGTGGTCTTTGTGTGTGTAAATGGAGAAAAATACAGTCCACAAATATACAATAATTTATTTAAAAACACGTCTTACAATAAAGTAATCATTCCGACCCTTAACGACAATGATACCCTTGCATTGAAGGTAACATTTCTTCCACGAGGAATCAGCGAATTTAATGAGGTGAACGGACAATTGTCTATTGCAATGGGTCTAGATGTACGTTGGATTGACGGATTTTTGAAATGGAACCCTTTAAAGTATGGCAACGTGTCACATTTGGTAGTACCCGAAGATCACGTGTGGACACCAGTTATCACGCTGGCTAATCCAATAGACAGAATTCCAGTGTTTCCGGAAGATTCTTTCCCAGTTAGACTTTACGCAAACGGTCAAGTTATTTGGATCAAGGGAGGAACCGTTAGTGTAACCTGCCGGCCTAACGTTAAGTTTTACCCCTTTGATGAGCATAAATGTTACGCTAAATTTTTAACCATTGATCGAATTGGAAACGAGCTCAGAATGGAAACAGGAATTAAGTCTGCAATTTATGAAAAACATGGAGAATGGGATATACATAGCATGAAAGCATATTCCTCCTATTTTGACGTCTTTCCTTCTTGTGTTTTTGAGATCACTGTCAGAAGGCGGTCAGAATTTTCGGTGCTAAATACATGTGTACCAATCATTTGCTTGGGTATCTTAAATGCTTGTGTGTTCTTAATTCCCCCAGAATCTGGAGAACGCGTTTCCTTCGCCATGACGGTTTTACTCTCGTTTGCTGTTTTTATGACAATATTCAGTGCAACACTCCCGAAAAACTCCGACCCTGTTCCAATTTTGTGTTACATACTGACGATAATGACGTTTGAAAGTGGAATTATTGTGATACTCACTATTGTTGGACTTCGGATTTTCTTCAAGAAGGAAAATGAACAAATGCCAAAGTTTATAAGTCGCATAACAAGATTAACGGGTCTTAGGTCTGGTATATTTAGGAATGATCGAGAAACACGACCCAATGGGAGGATTCCAAATGACGAAATCTTAGATCAGGAACAATTACCAATGACCTGGGAGCGATTCAGGCAAAATTTTGACATTGCATGTTTCTGTATCTCGTTTGGGGTATATATCTTACTGGTTGTTGTGTACGCGATAATGGTAAAAATGTCCTGAATTGTCGGCAACTTTTATGCAAAACAATCATGGTACATATGTGTACACCTGAATCAAATATTGCCTGATGAATCATTTGAACTCCTAGATGCTCCTGAAAGCATGATTAAGTATCAATTAATTGTCAATATTTATTTTGGTAGCTTAATTAATTAATTATCATCGATTTGAAATGCAAGAAACTTGATTGTGCTCCAACCGAATGTTGGTTGATTTGTTTTCCTCCATCAAATTCTTTTTCATGATAATGGGAAGAAGTGATACAAATTATACACTTTTCATCCTGTTAATTTAAGCACAAAACATAGTCCTTGAAACGAGGAAGGAGGGCACGGGGAGCTTTGCTCCAAATAATTTTGCCGATATATAGTATGCTATAGAAAACAAAGATACTTTATGGATGTGCCCCTCAATAAATATGTTTAACCCCACCCATCCCAAACTGAAAATGTTTGGTTGCCCCCCTCCCTTAAACTGAAATTACTTCTTACTGGCCTATACAAAACTACAAAAAACTTGTAGTTATTTGAATCACAATATCAGCTCAATGTATGAGTGTTTGATGTACTTACAATGGGAACAGTCTGTTGCCTTAAAACAAAAATTGTAATTTTTAAATAGTCCGTGCAGGATGCCTTTTCTCTAAACAGGATACCTGATAGATATAACATCTCCACCTAGAATGTTACAGTTTCAAATCAGCTAAATATTTAACAAAATTACGCAATAAAAAAAAAGAGAGAAATCAAAGATGGTCTTTATCTTTTCATAAAACTGGAAAACCCATACATACGCTTCCGTAAATAAGCCTGTTAGTTAAACAGATATATTTTAAAACAAGCATTCTGAGAGTATTGCATTAGCAATACTAGTCCCCTACCGGCAAGTGTAATCTGGTTCCCGTTAAGAATTGAAAATGCCATAATTCCGTCAAAAATTAATAAAGCGGGACGAAATGCAAACTTGACCTATAACTAATCAAGGTAAAGTGACTTACCAAAAATCAGCTCAATATCTGAAAGCGTTTAGAAGAAAATTGCGGAAAACCCGTAAAAATTGAAAAGGCCGTAATTCCGTCAAAAATCAATGAAGCGGAACGAAATGCAAACTTGATCTGTAACTCATCAAGATACACTCACATACCAAAAATCAGCTCAATATCTGCAAGCGTTTAGGAAAAAAGTGCGGAAAACTAAGTGGGACAGACTGACAGACAGACAGAGGGACAGACAGACAGACAGACAGACAGACAGACGGACAGACAGACAGACAGACAGACGGACGGACAGACAGACTCAGAGGAAACCTATAGTCCCCTCCGGTTTCACCGGTAGGGGACTAATAACTTTCTTTTGATTTTTCTAGGTTTTGGAGACATCATAAAGCAAGCAAGCAAAAAAAAAAAAAAAAAAAAAAGAATGTGCAAAATATTCTGCGCATTTATATTTTCTTTCTATATCGGCTTGTTTATAAGTTAATACTAATCTACTTAATTCATAGGATTTTCGCTTCTATAAAGATGTGAAAAATGTAAATTAATGATGACGAATTTGTTTTTTAAAGTCTGACTGAAATAAAGTTTGCAACAAATTATCATAAGATGAGACTCTGACGATCATGAACATAAAAAGTAATTTTATATCTCGTTGTTCATATGAAATATATAGCTTTCGTATTTGACAATGTTTTGACCATTTGATCTACTTCCGAATATGAATTATGTAGGAGCTATATATTAGGCCTCAAAAGTAGACTTGAACAATATTTCGGTAAAATACAGAATATGATGGCATACGTTTTAGCTACTTTTTAAAGAAAGAACAAAAGGATTGCCAACATAGTGTTCAGAATTTTTGCAAAGGTTGGGCAAATTATATGTACACAATAAAAAAAACGGTATTAAAAAAAATTCATAGACCGGCATTTGAAACAGACATAAAAAGGGGTTCAAAAGGCGAGGTCGATTTTCTGTAGAACGGCCAGAGATTTATGGAACGCCAAATTAATATATATTCAAATATTTGAACCTATCTTCAAATAATTGTACCTATCTTCAAATAATTGAACCTATCTCTAAATGAATTGAAGATAGCTACAATTGAAACACTGAACTAATTCAGAGAATTTGTGTCCCTCGCTTAGGGAAAAAAGAAGAGCATGCGCAGTTCTGGGGGGTGGGGGTCGGACCCCCCCCCCCCTGGATTTGTAGAATTATTAAATGTATACATTTATATTGGAGCATATAAAAAATGCCAATAAGGATATAAAGATTTGATTGCTTTTTCTTTAAAATGTGTATAGAAGATTCGTTTTATATAGAATATTTATCACACTGAAATAATGATTTTATGAGTTTGTAAACACCAGACGTCATAACTTTTTCATTTCACATGTTGAATACTATCATTTAGTTAATAAAAAAAAATAATAAAAAAAGGATTGTACGGGATTTGAACCCGGGTCTTTCGTTTGCTAAGCCAGCATCATACCCCTATACCACGGAGACACTTGATTTTATAGCAGATTAAATTCAAACATTAGGTCACATATAATATTTATGTTCACGTTCGATATTGTTAAAATTTTACACAATACATCTATTTATACTTATAAATTAATAAATTTTGCAAATAAACTCCGAAATGGGTACACCAGAGTTCCTACTTACTCTTTTAACAATACAATAGATACAAGATGATGTCCGTAAACTATATTTAGATTTCACTCGCATAGTAAGTATCGTACATTAATTAAAAGTCTACTTTCATTTTCTATAAACAGCCATGAAATAGCAAAAACGTGAGTACGGTGGTGTTTCCGGTTGGCGGATCTAAGTTACTGACATTATTAATATATAGTCTATAAATAGCCCCTATATAATCTATACAAACGCAAACGGTTTATAACACTACATTTTCACTGGTTTTGAAGCCGTATTCAGGGTCAGTGCGCGTGCAGCGGCATTGTGACGTCACAATCAATACCCCAACGTTGAAAACAATATGGTTACAACGGCCGGAGCCAGCTGTGTGTCTGAGCAGGAAAAATGTTAGGCAAGCCTATCGCATGATTATTTTTCCAAACATTTCGTTATCTTACACACAGCGAAATGAAATCACGAAAGTTATAAGTTGTAATCTGCTTTTTTTTTATTGTTATTATTTTACGACAGAGGTTCGTTAATGAAAAAAAGGTATCGGCATGCAGCCTCCAATGTCTTATTTATTCAAATCCGGACTATATAATAAAACAATTATGGACTCTTTTACTGGTGAATTGTTATTCACCAGAAAAATATCAATATTGACCTCGGCTTCGCCTCGGTCAATATTGATATTTTTCTGGTGAATAACAAACCATATTCACCAGTAAAAGAATCCATAATTGTATAATATTTAATAAAACTGAAAACAAGCAATTAATCGTTTATTCATTTCATAAAACGTCATCACTGAATTATTCAATCAATACTTGATTTAAATAATATAAAAGAAATAAGTTGTGATAATCGATGAAAAAGGGAAATGTGCAAATTATTTTCGTCGTTCAACCTTAATTTTTTTTCCCTATGGTCTTAAACACACCTAATTTTCATTAATTATGTATGTTTGTTTATTAATAGGCGAATAAACCATGTCGTCATGTATTCATGTTTGTTTCATTACGGAATAAACCATATTTTCAAAAAGTATTCATGGTTAATTTATAAAAAAATAAACCTTGTAATTATTTTTTGTTTATTTCTAACAGATTAAACCATAATTTCATGCTATTTTAATAATTTCTTTGAGGAAAGGAAGCCATGTAGTTATAACTCGACATTGTGGAAATTGTAATACGTGTAATATCAGGGACCTATATACTATGTTAGTATATAGGTCCCTGGTAATATCATCTGAACGGAAAATACATGACTGTCTGTTAATACATACCATTTCTTTACTTTATCAAATGATAAAATTAAAATTTACAAATCAAATTAATCTTTGATACTGTGTTTCTCCAAATTAGGCTTTTCTGTGTTTTCAGTTTAGTTTATCTTCGGTCCTCTTCACCTGTTCAACTGTTAAATACCGGGTCATTAATTCTGTTCAAGCGAGAAATTCACACTTGGCATGCACTAAATACATGGACTTCATTTGTATCCATTGGATAAACAAAGGAGTTAGCCTTTCATGCAACTACAGTTTGTTTGGTGTACATGTACCAGAAAGCGTATTTCACAACTTTCGTCTACGCTATTATTCATTTATTTTAAAAAATAAAAATAAAAAGAAAAGACTGCACATAAAAAGAGCATAACCAGGCTGATAACGCCGTATAAAAAGAACATTGCGCCACACGAAAATGGCATGCCGCTGCGACATGCTAAAACCTCAAGAAAAACACTACTTCCATGGTTCAATGTAGAATGGGAACTAGCAGATAATATTGACAGATAGTGAGATATCGCGATTCAAAGCATCTCTAATCTCATTCGAAGATTGAAGCCATGGCCGGAACCAAACTTACAGTAAAACCTGGAACCAATATTATGATTTTAAGTATCCGGAACGTAAATTATAATATTGACGGAAGCTTCTAGAACATTATATAGCATCAAGCCCGATGTTAAAAAGAAAAACGAGCCGATTATACCTGCATATTTTTTTTTTATAAAAAAAAACTTGTGTTTGAATGGTCATTGAAATAATGGTAAATCATTGATAACACTATAAGTTGTGAATATATTTATATATCGAAAGACTATTACATAGACATGTATGTAGTAGGTTTTCCTGATAAATTTATCGGTAAAATTTGTATATATTCGATACGGAGAGCATCGTGGAAACGAACCCCGAAGTACAATTTGTACTTCGTAATAAAGTTGCTTACATGAAAAGAGAAAGTTAATGAAGAAGGTATTGTTCAAATACAATTAAAGATGTAAAATTTTGTGCTTTAATCAATACATTTATTTTGTTTTTTCTGAATACAGTATTTTGTATCAAATACTCCGCCTATTCATAGGGTGTTACAACCTAATTTTTAAACAGGTACTTGGGTATTGGTTTATAAATATGTATGTACCTTATTGATATGTAAAAAAAAAGTAAAGTACATTTTTTTTTACATATCAATAAGGTACAAACTTATTTATAAACCAAGACCCAAGTACCTATGAATTTTTACCCCCTCCCCCCCCCCCCAAAAAAAAAATCAATTTATCAGTAAAATGTGCATATTCGCTGCTTTTATCCTTGACGAAAATGAAATAAGAGCATATGAAGTACAATATCCATAACATAGTATAACAGGTTTCACAATAAAAGTTTTTACAAAAGAGGGGGGAGGGGGGTGGAGACGTACATCAACTTCGTGCGGGATTTTGAACAAAGTCCTGCTATAAGCCTGTAGGCTGTCAGTAGAAACTACATTATATTTTCTGTCGGTAGTGGTATATATATAGATTCATTTCCCCGCGCTTGCGCGGGATTTCATCTAGTGTTGTCTAATTTAGCCTTTACTAAACAGTTCTAATAGATGTAATTAGAATATAAAGTCCGCCGACAACCTGTATTAACGTAATAACTCTCCACATGCTCCTGTGCTAAAAATAGTGCCAAGCGACTTTTAATACAATAAATAAATTCAGAGAATTTATGCCCCCCGCTTAGGGAAAAAAGAAGAGCATGCGCAAAAAATAATATAATTCATCTGTCACTTGCAAGCTACC